CTGTTCTGTTTATTTTTTGAGTCAAGGTCTCAGTATGTAGCTGTCCTGGAACTCACTGTGTAGACCAGGTTGGCCTTGAACTCACAGAGGTCCACCTTTCTCTGCCCCTCAAGTGCTGGGATTAAACATGAGCACCATCACACCCAGCCGCCACCCTTTCTGACACTTAGATTCTAACAAAATGGAAGCAAAGACTTCTTACTCAAGTATGTGCTGTACAGCTTTCCTTGCACTTAATAAAATCATGTTAACACCCTTGAAGTTATGAAGGCTGTCTCTCATGCCATATCAGATCCTGTAAATTCTCACATAACTTTCATAGATACTTTTATAATACTGTCCACCTTCTATTTAAGGATTTTTCATTTCCAGTGACTTCTTGGGGAGAACACCAGAGAGTCATTGGAGGCACTGTCCCTTTGTCACAAGACATGCTCAACTAGAAACAGTGCAAACCAGCTTCCTCTGCAAGGGGCTGTGTCTAATCTGGGCCTTCTTGGGTGGTTGTCACCAGGTATGGGCTTCATCCTGCATGACTTACTTCAGTTAATGACCACTGTTGAGTGACAGGTCACTGAACAGTGGTAGAATAGGCAGGTACAGAGAGAAACAGGTAGTCCTTCTTCAGGAACGCTCAAAACTCCAAAGAATCTCCAAATTAGATTGTCAATATACCAGTGATGTCAATTCAATGAAAATACTATTACCTGACCCTAGCTCCTTAAGAGAGGGGTGAGCAACCTGGGGGGGATGGGGGTGGGTGGGAAGTGAAACAGCAAAATGTATGGTGGTGATCAACTAGGTTCTAATTAATGTACAACTAAACTTGTCAATACATTTCTTCTTTTTTCTAAACATGTTCTATTTTGTTTTTCCATTTTAACAATAATACTTGCATAAACATATTCATGGTAAAGCAATTTTGGAAATGGCTTTTCACTATCGTAGAAATCTATTCATTCAAGAAGGAATTGCTAGGCTATGTTAGGTGAGAGAGAATTGAAACTACAAAGAAAATTGAAATTGCATACTCAGTGACATACTTGAGAACACTTTGAGAAACTCTGTCTCCAGTCCTCTGGGCTCAAAGTCAGAGGCAGCCCTGATTCTCTGATCAAATCCAAGAGAGAAGTTTGGAGGAATTGAAACTTGGGGGTATTTTCCCCTTTGCTTTTTTTTTTTTCCTGTGCCTTGGTAACCATCAAGATAAAACCTTTTTTGTGTATGGGATTTTTCAGAAATTAACAAATTAAAGTACAATACCATTCAATATCCTTCCTCTACCTTATTGGAAAATTAAAACCAAAGTGTAGGATCTGTGTGCAAGAAAAGATCACCACATTTGTGGAGTGCAGTAAAGCACAGGCAGGCCGCCTGGCCCCAGGGTAGACTTAGTAAGTGGTTATTAAAACAGTAATTTTAACAATGCAATGACAGTTAGGCAAACACTGGTAATGAGGATGTATCTCTACTTGTCAGAAGGATATATGTTTATGATAGGATTGTGGTTTGTTATTAATCTGTAAAGCAGGGCTGGAGAGGTGGCTCAGTGGTAGAGCACTTATCATGTGTGAAGCTCTAAGGTCAATGCACAACACAGCCACTTGAGTTTTGGAGTGATTACCACAGTAGCCCTTGGTTAATCTCCTTGCTACCTTCTTGATGCTCCATGATCCATCTCATACAGCAAACCAAGTGAACCTGTTCAAAGAGATAGCTAAAAGTGTGTCACAGCATAGGCTAGCATCCTTGCTGGCTATGCATGGCTTTTAGCCTCCAACAAAAGCCAACACAGGCCTCCTGGGTCTTGTGTACTGGGGATGTGGCCCTCTTGCCCAGCCTTATGGCTTGCTTCCCGGTTGCCTTTCAGTTCCGATACCTGCCAGGTTTGCTCTGTTCTGAGATACTTTCATTAGCTTCTAGCTCTGCCTAGAATGCTCTCCTGCTCCCATGGGAGCCTGTCCTTAGCTTGTAATTTTCTGTTCAAATCCCTTATTTCACCTTCATCAATTAATCACTACCCGGTTGAGCTGTGTTTCCTTATAACTGCTCACATATTTCCTACAAAAAAAAAAAAAAAAAAAAAAAAAAAAAAAACACAAAAACTGTAATGAGAAGGCAGAATCCTTGTCTGTCTTTTTTTTTTTTTTTTTTTTTTCCTGCTCCCAAAATCATTGAAAATGACCAATGATGACTAAGTAAGCAAATGAGCAAAGGTATGGAAAGCTAGCCCCCAAAATGTTACTAGTCATTAGAGGAAGGAGGATGATTTAAGGTGATTTTAATTGATTTTCCCCCTTTGGTTCATTTGTATTCACCCATCTGTCCGAAAGGATCATCTGTTCCCGTGTAATTCTTCCTAAATGACTCTAGTGCTTAGCTAGGCAAGGAGCTGGTTTTGAAGGTTCCAGACAGTTGCAGAATATGTAATCTGCACAGGTGATGTTATGACTGGGTCCTGAGCTAACTCCTGCCATATGCCTTTAAGACTTTCATTTAAAGGGAGCAGATTTCCTTAGGTTCTGGAGTGACTTGTCCACCCACATTACTGTGAGGGATAAAAGCATGTGATACGCAGCTAGGCACAGATGTGCATAGCTGTATCTCCCAGGTTCCTGACCCCAGCCCCTCTTGCCAGCTCTGCCCTGGTAATCACAGAGTTACTTTGCTCCAGGGAAAATCCATTATAAACAGCAGCACATGGGGCACCAGAGTGAGATTTGCTTCAGTATACTGCTTTTTCCCCAAAGAAAATGTGCAGCTGTTAGTTCTGCATTTAACAGTGAGATTGGCTGAACTGTCTGCCTGTTTCTAGAAAATAATGATAATAATTAAATAATAATCCACACCATGGTCTACACCTTCCTAGGTTGTCTATCTGTAACAGTAACAGAATCCCCTGTGCTAACCACTTCTGTCTTAGAAATAATAGGCATAGTAACTTGCAGTCTTAAAACATAAAATGGTTTGGGAGACTTGTCTCACAGTGGTAGCCCAAGCTGACCTTGAACTCAAGATCTCTTAACCTCTACCCCTGGGATGCTGGAATAATACATTTGCTAGTTATTCCCAGCCCAGAAGTTACTAGGTAGTTATTATTTTTGTTGTTGCTGTTCATTTGTTGTTTTGTATTTTAAAGCTGAGCTAGAGTAGTGTGTGACTTTTATCTGAGTGACTTTGAGACCTTGTTTAGGCTGCTGAGTAACTAACCAAAAGCAGAATTCCCATAGCTATGGCCCTAACCAAGTAAGGTTGCCATTCATTTGTAGTATCCCTGATCCATGCTTCAACTTCAGAATTGCATTTCTGGAAATCGTTCACACACAAGAGATGATAAAGGGAAGAAGAAAACCAACAATAAAAAATTAACAACTAACTTAAAAACAGAAGTTGTCATTTCAGATGTGGTATTCTTATTTTTCATGTGGATTTGGAACCATATGTTTAGGGCCAGAGTCCCACAGTGTATACATATTTTCCTAAGCAAGGTAAAGGCTATTGAATGTAGTAATGAACCTTTGGTTCTCTACTTCTATTATAAATCCCAGGTACCTACAGAAAACACTGGCCTTTCCTCTGTTCTTCAATGCCAGTCCTGTAGTATATATGGGGTTGATGTCATTTATGTTCAGGAACTGCTATGCCTTGGGAGAGCAATGCAGACTGCTCTAAATCAGTGCCCTTTCTATGTGAAAACACAGACTGTTCAAAGGAAAAGCCTTCATTCTGGGACAAGTGCTCACCTCCAATGACAGTGTTCTGCAGTGTTCTGTGGGAAAGCTACGTGACTCTGAGGTCTCCTCAGTCTCGTGGAGCTCTGGTTTGGTTTGGTTTGTTAGAGTGACTGACTTTTCTCCCTAGCCCCACAACCACCCACATTCTTTGGCTTCCTGAAAACATCTCAGGGTTTTGTGTGTTTGTTTGTTTGTTTGTTTGTTTTTGTTTTCTTCATCGATGAGCAAAGACACCCTGAAGAAAAGTTGTCTTGTCCCTAGTAGTTGGAAATCAGACCCCAGGAGATACGAAGCCATGGTGTGTAAATGTCACTTGGCATGAACACAAGAGGAGTGGGACTGAGCCTGGTGGCTGGGAGCACCAGAAGGATGCCGCCTGCAAGGCTAAAAGACCCAGCAGTAGGGCCAGCAATTGTAAAGCCCCTCTGCCAGACGAACAGGGACCCTTCTCTGGTCACAATAGCCATTCACACTGAGCAGTCTCATTAAATATTCAGCCAGTGTTTCCGGCAGCTCATTAAGGCCTCAGCAAGCAGTGACGTGGATGCTGGAAAGCTGAGGGCCGGCCAGCATCTCAGGCAGAGGCTGCATGAGCTGCTCTTAGGCTTTCTGTTCACTGCCTGTCCTATGATGACCAGTGTGTGCTCCCTGCTTTGCTTGAAGTACAGGTAAAAACAAAGCTGAAATGAAGACAAGCAGAAAACACCGACAGGCTTCTGCCCTGGCCTTAGATGTTGTCTGGAAAGAGCCTCTGATTTGGGCATGCATATCCTATTGAAGCCCCCTGACCCCTTTAAAAGCGGTCTGAGGATTTGGGGCCTTGGCTAAGCACAGACAATGCAGTGCTATTTTGCAGTTGGATTGTTTGATAACTATATTGGAGGGGATTCAAAGTGTGATTTTGAACTTGGTACTTGGGAGACTACTCAGAATACCAGACGGCTCCTCTGTAACTCGTCAGCTGTAGAGATACATGGGGGTAGAATCCCCATGGCTTGTGCAGGAGGTCACTTTGTGCCAAATTCTCACTCGCATGTTTGGGGCTCTGGGGTTGGGACTGGCTGTAATAGGAGATGGCTCTTCAGACCTCTGGGCTCCTCCAATGTCTGAATGCTGTGCTTGCATTCAGCACTTTTCCTTGGGTTTGCCATCCGTGCTGTGGGATGTTTCGAGCTGGGAAACTGTTAAAGCAGGCTTTCGAGATGATAAACTTAGACAAAGTGTACTTCTGTGCTCAATGTTGGCATGTTTTCCTTTTCAACACAGAAAATGTTTTCAGACTGCTCATTTCTATGTGGAAGACAGCAGTTCACCTCGGGTGGTCCCCAATGAAAGTATTCCTGTCATCCCCATCCCGGGTAAGTGAGGCACTGCTGTACTCCCAGTAGGTCGCCTTCTCTTTTGTTCTCTGTGGTATGTGATTGATGCGCATGATCAGGTATTACGTTCATTGCTGTTTGAAGCTTAACCAGTCTAAGTACTTCACTAAGGATAATGCAATAAAATTTTTGCCCCTTTGCATATCTATAAAGTAACAAAATCCCCCATTACAGAAGCAAACACCTATGGGTTAGTGTAGGATAGCATCTCCATAAGGAGAAAAAGTAGCAGTAGCAAAATGGAAAACACACCAATTTTAACTCACAATTTGTGAACATACTTTCAAAGGTGAGTTTCCCTTCAAGATTTCATGTTCTGTTAGTTTTTTGGAACATTGGACACTTTGTTGATGTTATTTGTGTGAAAGTCTAGGACTGGTTATGACTGGTCTGCTAGAGCATAAGCCCAGAACAGTTATAGTGTGATAAGGATTGGTAGAACACACTGTAGGAAGTGCAAGGAAATGCTACAGACACTTGGAAACTTGGAGCAGGGCTGGCTGTCATAAGTAGGGTGTGGGATTTAAAGATCTCACCCACCATTCGTATTCACATCCTTTTCCTTTTGTCAGATAAGAACTTTGTACTGCTGAAGTGTGTGTGTGTGTGTGTGTGTGCATGAGTGTGTGCATGTGCACCTGTGCATGTGTCTGCATCTGTGTCTCTGTGAATACATATATTCAGATATCTGTCCTCCCTTTATACACAGAAACTACTTTGAATAGTGATGTTCCTCTGTACCTACAGCTCTCTTAGTCGGCTTCATTATCATAGATCTCTTACTAGCTGACCTATTTTATTTATTTGCAGTCACCTGATTTTCAATGGGAGCTATAGAAGGACAAACGAATGTATTCTCAGGGCTATAAGACTACTTACCACATAGCAGACAATTTAAAACTGTTAGATGGATCCATGAATGTCAGCAAAGCATTTAAAAGTTCACAAAAGTCATTGTATGAAGTTCAAGACACAGCCATTCTCTGGCTATCAAAAAGCAATTTTGTTTGCAGACTATCATGAGATGTGGTTATAGTTGGGGACTTAATTATCCCTTTATGTGTCTATATATGTTGTCAATGTATATTGCTGGTATTAGCTTTATCTGGGCAGCCTTTTCTCAGTAGTATTTGTCAAAGAGACAAGATGGAGAACAGAATGGCCTTGCTTGGTCCTGCTGGATAGACTGTTAAAGGGTTAAATGTATGGGAATACCCTGGGGTCCTCCCACTAATTTTTTTCCTTGGTGGAGGAACTGTGCCTGGTATGAAGAGCAGCAGAGAGGAACTAATAGGCTCCATCACAATGGATGTTTCAACTGCTGACTTTGCATGGGACCATTATGTACTCACTTTGCTCCCATATTGCCCAGAATATGTGTGTTGACTCCTTCCTGGGAGCCACTTTCTCTGCAAGGTGACTCATCTGACAAGCAGAGTTTTCAGGTCGATAGACATTTGCTCCTCATTTTTAAAGGATCAAATCATGATGTAGAGGAAGAGGCTCATGAGTTCCCTATGTCACACAGCACATCAAGCCCTCCCTAAGCTCCACAGCACAGCTGATGGTAAGCGTGCATGGTAATCATGAGTAGAATGCCAACCCATTCCTCAAGGCTGTGGTTGAATCTCAGCCCCACATAGTGTTGATAATAAAAAGTAACCAGATAACCAAACATCAGCAAAGTCCCTTTGTATGAGTGTGTGTGTGTGTGTGTGTGTGTGTGTGTGTATGCATGTATTTATGCAAAATTGTACACATCTGAGATGCCAGGGAACTGCTAAGCAAGTATTCTATCAATGAATTGCACTTCTTGCCAGGTGCAATTCTTTTGAAACAACAAATGTGAGTAAAATTTTCATTAGTTTTATTAATAAAGCATTACCAATGCATATGTCTTAGTTAGGGTTCTTATTGCTGTGAAGAGACACCATGACCAAGGCCGCGCATAAAGGAAAACATTTCATTGGGGCTGACTTGCAGTTTCAGAGGTTCAGTCCACTCTCATTGGCAGGGAGCGTGTGACATGCAGCCAGGTGTGGTGCTGCAGCTCAGAGTGCTACATCTTGCAGGGAACAGGAAGGCAGTCAGCTGTTACACTGAGGGAAGCTTGAGCAGAAGAGACCTCAAAGCCCACCCTCACAGTGACATACTTCTTTCAGTAAGGCCACACCTCCCAATAGTGTCACTCCCTTTGAAGTCCATTTTCTTTCAAACCACCACAGTTTATTATCTCAAAATTGTAATTACTATAGTGTATCATTCTTTTAGACTTGTGTTGCAGATAAACTTTAAAATCAGAAGTTAGTTCATTAACCTGGTTCAAGAAAACACTGGAAGATATTTACAGATGTGCAACATATCAAAATCAAATATCCTTAAAAACACTTTCTCTAGGAAACCAAACTTTCTAATAGACACATTACAAAACAAAATGTAGGGGCTGCCAGTAGCCCAGGAATCTAGAAACAATTCATGCCTTTCCAGCAGCTAAAATATAGCTTAATAATTTGAAGGTCATTGGCTTCAGCTGGGTGCCAGCATATAAAGTGTGTTTATACATGCTGCTTAAAACCCTTGGGATTAAACCTACCTTTTTGGCATATTTTATTTATACAAAGATTATCTCCAAAGGAGATTCATTGGTGTTTTGACTGTAATGAAGCCCTTTCTTCATTAACTTCATTGTGCCATAAATGAAAAGGTTTCTTTTATGTCAGGAAATAAAATGCTCTAATCTTCAAACACTCCTTACATCCTAAGAGTTTGATTTAGATGAAAATCTATTTATTGTGCTCTAATTTGGGGACTAAAGTCTTGGTAGTGTTCTTTTCTTTCATGTTGGTTTTATCTTCCTAAGTTGATGCAGAGGTGATACTAAGCCTGGAACCTGAAACTGGACCCTAGGAGGCTGAAGGGGCAGTAAGAGGGGAACTGGGCTCTTGAGATTGAGGTCTGTCCACTAGATATGTGTTTATCAGTACCTGGTAGTGTCTCAGTGAAGGAGACTGGGGAAGAATTTGAGCAGCGATGATGTAAATGGAATCCTGTACTAGAGTTTTATGTGTTTTTCCTTCTGCAGATGGAGGAAGCTGGAATTTGGGCTAAGATTTAGAAATCTGCTGAGGGTTAAATGAACTTTGTATAGAGATTCCTTTCTTTCTTTTTTACAGAGTAGGTAATCTAAGGACTTCTGAAATCCTAATGGTGTTTGTGTACATGACCATCCACTTCCCCAGCCAGGACAAGGGATCTTTTTTTAAATAGAGCTTTAGCCAGGGAACCCAGCAGCTAGCACCCTGACAAGAAGGTAAATACTTAGTACCTTCTTTACCTGCATCAACAAGGTGATGCAGTGTGAGACAGGGAGAACTCTTTAGGGAGCAAAGTCACGATTAGAATGAAGCATGTCTTATATGGGATGGATCTGGTCAAATGTCAAGTCTAGAAGGCACTGTGCTAAGGGGGAGCCTGGATCTAGAGACAGCTTCATCCCAGCAGTAGCTGAAAGAACTCTGGGCAAGTGTTGTCATGTCTCTAGATCATTTGATTTCTCCCCTGGGTCAAGTGGTACAGGGACAGCAAATCATCGCAAATGACAACTTAGTTACTAAAGTCTCCAGACACCAAGCCTCTCACAAGTCCTTACCTTGTTATTTCTAATAGCAGTGAATGCAATGTTCCTTAACCTTCCTAATGCTGTGACCCTTTAATACAGTTTCTCATGTTGTGGTGACCCCCACCATAAAATTATTTTCAGTGCTACTTCATGTCTGATGTACATATGATATGTGCAACCCATGTGAAAGGGTGATTAACTCCCTGAGGGATCACAACCCACAGGTTGAGAACCACAGACTTACTGACTTAGGCATTGTTATTCCTGCCATTTCCCAATGACTGCAGGGAATCCCAGAGAGGCAGCAATAGCACTGGGCAGCCTGGCTCTGGCTTTTCTGCTCATGTCACTGAGTGACATGGGTAATCCATGGAAGGTGCTAATTCAATGGGACTGATAAAATGAGAGCACAGTTCTCCTGGTGGCTGGGGAAGATGCTGTAGTCAGGGCTAGCCTTTGCTATGGATGCCCCTTCCCCCTTTTCTGATGTCAAATCAAGGGTGACAACAAGAAAGTTAACCTTTTTTCTCTTTCTATCAGATTTTCTTTAAGATAAGGAGAGAGCAAATCTACATGTGTGACTAGGTTGAAGGAGCCTAAGGTATTGGAGATTTGTGTCTTCTGGTTCTGAAGATGAAGGGACTTGCCCACAGATCCTAGAAGAGGGTTTTCTTTATGTTCAAACACACTGTTCTTTGTTCTTGGCGGTGGCCTCGTGAGCTCACCATTATCTGAGCTTTGATGCCTTCTCTGGGCAGAAGTTGCTTTCTCCACTTCATCTTCTAATGTCTGCTGTTGACAACTACAAGTCAGAGACTAAGATAAGGGGGGATTGGCCCAGATCGCACGCTTTAATTCTTATCACAAAAGCTAAGAATGACTGATCATATTAGATAACAAAGTTCACACATTAGATACTGATTCTCAGTTGGTTATGTAAAACATTTTATAATCAAGGGATTTGGTGATAAGGACAGTGGCTTCATTTTCACCTAACAATTCTCCAATAGCAGAAAAATGTACAAATAAAAATACTGGCACAAAAGGATTATTATTATTTACCAGCTTAAACATGGTACTCTGTTCAATCCCTTGTTCTTCTTTAAAGTATTCTAATTTTTAAAATGGAGACAATATATAGCAGTCCAGACTTTGATTTCACCAAAGTTCAGCTCTGTCATTCACTTTAGATAAGTGGCCTCAGCTGTCCTTATGTGTGTCACATGTGTATCACAAAAATAGTTCTGTTCCCTTCACCTGGTTCTTGTAAAATGAATAAATAAATGGAATGTCATGGGCTTTGGCAACCATACAGGCTGAATGGTGGCTCCCTGAATTATACCAACTCCATCTTTACATGGTTCTCCCATATATCCTAGTAATTTACTTCTACGCCTGGAGTTTACCCACCTTTTTTTTTTCACACTTCTCCCATAACTATTGAATCATTGGTTTTCCCACCACATCAAATTTTTGATGGCAGTAGCAGTGTTCAAGTTGTAGATTACACACTGGTTTTTCCTTCACTTTCTTATGTCCATTTGCATTGTGACACACGTGTTGCCCATGAACAAGGACACTCAGCATAACTTCTGCCTGATCCTGAGGACTCAACTTTTGAATGATACAGTAATTACCCACAGTGGAACATAAAGTTTGGGCTTTCCCTGAGTTGAAACACTCTGTTATGGGTCAATAGTTAGCTTTTTAGGTCATAGCCATCTGTGATGGCTAATCTTGGTTGCAACTTTACATATCTTGGAAAGGGGGGACCTTAAATGAGGAATTGTCGTCTTCTAGTTGGCCTGGGGGTACATCTGTTGGATATTATCTTGGTTGCTAATTAATGTAGGAGGCCAAGCCCATGGGAGGGAGCATCCACTAGGCAGGTGGGCCTGGGCAACATAGGAAACAGATGAGTGTAAACCTGAAGCAAGCCAGCAAGCAGCACTTCTTGGTGGTCTCTGATCCAGGTTTCTTCCTAAATTCCTGCCTTGGCTCCCACCCTACCTTCCCCAAGGTGCTTTTGGTTAGTGTTTTATTATAGCCACAGGAAACCAAGCCAGAACACCATTGTTTAGTTCATCTTTAAGAAATGGCTTGTTTGTAAGAGGAGGATGCATGTAGTACCCATACCAGGGTGCATACAAGATGTATGCAAAGCACTTAGTCATTAATTAGCTCTGCTATTATCTGTAATAGAACTTGTTTAGGTAGAAATAGTATATTGTAGGTGGATGTTTTCCTATACTGATTTGGATCTTTCCAAAAACTGAGTAGATCAAGCCTGTTATGTTACTCAAAATTGTTGAGAAAACTTAATAAAACAAAACAGAAAAAAAAAACTACTCAGGAAGGAGCTGACCAGGACTTCTAGTTAATTGCTCTGTTATATTTGTCTTAAGATGAGCCCTCTGTTGTGTTATCTGAGTAGTTGGCCATGGTCAGCACCGCATGCCTCTGTATACACATCTGTCTGTCTCTGGCTTTCATGATGGATTTTGTGGTGCCTGGGAACACAGAGGGTGTAGATTAAATATAGCTCAGTTTTCTTGGATAAAAATGCAAGCAGAAAAAAAATAGTGCATCATGTATTTCTATGGTGGCCATACTGGCTACTGCTGAAGTTTTAATACATCCCATCATGGAGATTGATTTCTGAGTATGTAACATTAGGTTGGACATTATAGTTGATTACACTATAGGGGGAAAAAAGTAGTTTACTGTGAACTTGAAACATTTCTTTTAAGGATTTGCCATGGGCTGTGACCTTCAAAATGCCATGTTTTTACCTCAGCATCTTGGTGTCTTAAAAATCTGTATGCTAGCTGGACATTGATGGCACACACCTTTAATCCCAGCACTTGGAGGCAAAGGCAGGCAGATCTCTGTGAGTTCAAGTCCAGCCTGATCTACAGAACTAATTCCAAAGCAATTCAGAGAAACCCTGTCTCAAAAAGCCAATTAAAAAAAAAGTTTAAAAATATGTATGATATCTGTAAAACATCTAAATATAACAAACATATTTTTTCTCATTTTGAACCAAGCATTATGTCCATTCCCAGCACCATAAATTTCTGGAAATTGGAAATTCCAAATAGTAATTATAGAATAAATCATTCTGTCACTCAATTATTAGCTATGGTACCTTACCTTTGATAACAATTATCCTTGAAGACTTACATTTTTGTGCATATTAATCTGTTTTTCCAGCGTAGCCTGTGGACCCTTCATTGCCGCATAACTGTTATTATAGAATTCACTTCTAAACATTTTAAGTGATCAGATAATTTTGGAAACTTTTCTTGAATAGCATTTTGCTAAATATTCTGGGCAAACATTTTGGCTCTTCATAGTTTGTTAATGCTGGTTACATCATGGAAGCTATAGATTTCTTGGGCGTACAAAATGATTGCATATTCATGAACATCTTCAATCTTGAAATATTTGTAAATAACTTGGCAATTTTTTTTTTACAAAGTTTCCTATTAAAATGATTAGGACTTTAATTGTTCACACAGAGAGAACTTGTGCTTGAAAAGTTCAAGCTCTTGTGTTTAAATAATATTTCAATGCTGAGTAACTTAGGTTACAGACCTATAAATCACCTTTCTTAAACAAAGTATAAGAGTTGCAATTTTCCACTGAGGAGTGAATCAAGTTTGAAAATGTCAATAGATGCAAAAAGCCACCCTAGAGCTTTGCTCTCTCAAAAGAAAGTAGAGAAGGAATGACACAGTCAATGTTAACTGTCACCAGATGAAGAGAAATCAGATTGTCAGGCCTGGATCTATGAAATTCTTGCCAAAGTAGGACCTCATTTACACATACAGATCTTCATACCCTTTGCTAAGAAAAGCATCTGCGGCAGTTTAGATGTTTGTGCGTTTGCCAAAGATCTTTCACTCTGAATAAAGTAAATGTCATGTCTGTTGTTTATCTCAAACTTCGCTGAACAGTTTTTAAAGGAAATATTTGCGGGGGAGGGCCGAAGGAGGAGGACTTCGAGTGGCAGTGAGGAAGTGGGTGTGGCCCTTCAGCAGAACCAGTCAAGGATCAGACTGGATCTCTGTAAATAAACCTAAAACATAAGCTGAATATGTCCCTTTGAAGTGACAACACAGCAATAAACTGGGGTGTGTAGAGTCTTCCTGAATCTCTACCTAGGCTGTCAATACACACACACACACACACACACACACACACACACACACACACACACACACACAATTCAGTTAATTCCATCCAGTTGATTATTTGGCACCATATAGACACAGCTGTCTTGAACTGAGATTCTGAACACGTAACGATAGAAGGTTTTGCAGCTGGTACAGGGCGTCTGTCCGAGTGAAGACTACTATGTAGACTTCAGAGACTTCGAGTCAAACCTGGGTGCTGGGCATCCACACTCTAGCCACTGAATAATAACAAAAATTTAAAATGGGTACCCTTGGTAAAAACAGACTTTTAGCTAAGAGTGTAATGTATTTCCTTTATTGTGTAATTTTCTTCAAATCTTCAAATAAAGGAAGGGTGTGTGTGTGTGTGTGTGTGTGTGTGTGTGTGTGTGTTTGAAATACCATATTTAGCCTGGCTCATAAGTAATTCAGAATCCTAAGGAGATCTTGATGTAAAGTGAAGTCCAAGACCTTTCTTCAGAAAGTTATTTCAGTTGATTCAATTTTCTCATTTTTGTCAAATATTTATCTCATGTAGGATTTGCTTTTTCAATGTCATTTTTTATGCACATATTCTGTGTGACCCAGAGTATCATTTTATTCCTGCAGATGACATGGAAGCCATTCCTGTCAAACAGTTTGTGAAACACATCGGCGAACTCTATTCTAATAACCAGCATGGGTTCTCTGAAGATTTTGAGGTATGTTTCAAAACTGGAAACTAATTTCTCGAATTTTTGACCCCGTGAGCTGCATTTATTCTAAGTATATCAGAACAATAACTCTACCAACTAGAGATGGCTTTTTTTTTTCACTGATGGTTTTCATAAACATTTCCCCAGTCAGAGGTAGAGAAACGAAGTTCCTTTCACCTGCCTTGCATGTGCCCACCTATGACACAGTGTTTGAGAAGAGGACAGTGGGCAGGGGTCGTTTTTCTGGTTCCTCGTCTTAATTCTAAGCAGGAACACATTCACACTGCCGAGTTCCCTGATTCCATGTCATTTCTGGGATGCGCATGGTATAATGGAGACAGGAGGTTTGGCATCGGAGAAAGTGCTGGCTCTGCCAGAAGTGAGCTTCATAAGGCCAATCACTTCATCTCTCATCCCCAGTTTCCTCATCCTTGAAAAGATGGTGCTAATGTCACCCACGGCATAAAGTTGTTAGATTAAAAAATAAACATCCATGAAAGTGCTGGGGTTAGTTATTAACTGATTGTTGTTGTTTTCCTGTGTATTAATCCTTGGAGAGAAGATGTGGGTTAACACAGCCTTCTGATTTTAAGAGCTGGTGTGTAGGAAACAAGGTGGAGTAGTGGCGCGTCCCACTCTGCCAGCTCTGGGTTCCGTGCCAGTTCAGCAGTGACAGGGTGTCAATGAGGAGCCATTAAACAGACTGCCCTTTTCTTCACTGAGGCGCATCCCTGGCAGCGGGGCTGTGTGGAACAGGGCACGCTTTCCTGGCAGCTCAGCTGGCTTCTAGCTGTAGGGGTGAGTGAGTTTCTTTCTCTTTCCGTTTCTACTGTGGATTGGAAACGATGGTGAAGATCCTTTCTTGCCCACCTCTTCACACAATTGGTGATGGGGCTCAAATACAGTAATGGGAAGTAAGCACTTGGGGACCATGATGGGCACATACAGCTCTGAGGTGCAATTATCTTGCATGAACAATGAGAAAAAATGGGACCAGAACCCCTGTCTCTATGCAAATTTGGAATCCCCAAAGGTCATCAGAAAGGCAATTATATTGTCATCTCAAGTTAAATCTTTCTCTGAGGTTTTTCCTGTTGTTGCTAGTTTTGCATTGGCTTTGTTTCATTTTGTTTTCTGGTTTGGTTTGGGTTCAGGTTTTTATGAGGAAAAGTGATAGCAAGGGGGTAGAGAGAAAGAACTTACATTTTGAAAAGCCTGTCAGGTGTTTAACGCTGCTATTGTATGCTGGCCCAAAAAAAAGGTGTCTGTTCCATGACAAAGAACATGGCTTAAGTTAAACGTTTTGTATTCATGAGGGCAGCAAATGTGTGTGGCGTTAAAGTGATTTAGTTCAATTGACTGTTGGCTGGATGATTGAGCAAGGATATTGAGGCATTTAACAATGTTGATGGTATTCAGGACAAACATTTATCCTCTAGAGAACAGAATTTGATCAGGATGATCAAATGCAACTCTGCTTTCTCAATTATTTATGATTTGAGACCCCAGTGCTATTCATCACAGCTGGTTTTGACACCATTTAATTATTCAAAATAATCAGCTGCACCTCTGTATACTTGATCTGACTTAAAGATGGGCTTTTGCTCTATCAAAATCATGCCTATGAACAAATCCCCACATTTACTTATGCCCTGCCTCTATCCTAAAAATATGAAGACTGTGGGCTAACTGTTTAATCGCCTCCACTGAACCTCACAGCATCAGTACCATGGGCTGGTAGTTAATGGGAGGGGTTTGAGAAGCTAAGTAGAAGCAGCACTGCACTTCCTGTTAGCATCTCCTGGCTCCTCCTGAGGAGAGTTGAAAGCTGAAGCTACTGCAAATGGGATAAATTCTGAAAAAGTAAAAGAAGATGTAAAGCAATGGCATAAAGGGGGAAATGAGACAGAAGAGGACCTCACCAATATACTGTGACCTTTAAAATTCAGCAGAACTTGGAAGTATTTTTAAACAAAAGCATCATTCCTTTTCTGTAACCTTGCTAAAAAGGGAAAGTTAGTAGCAAGGCATGTGAGGAGTAAAGCCATTTAATAAACAGAGGTAGTAGCTGGCCTGTAAGGAGGGTCAGGGAAGGAAATTTTATGTAGTAGGAAGAATGATGAAATAATTAGAACAAACCCTCTGTTGTGGTAAGAGAGTAGTAAGCTCCTCCACAAATTTCCACCCACTTGTGTGAGATAACCATGGCCAGCACTTACCACAATGGATTGCGTCCCTCCTGTATTTGATCTCATTTCTCACTGACCTCATTTTAAAGTTAAGGAAACTTTATCCATAAGAAAGAAAACCAAGATGTTATTAGGTGGTCACGCTTTGGAATGGTGGCAGCAGGGGTTGAGAGCAGCACTGTCAAACCCCGAGCCCTGTGGTTAACCCCAGTGCCCTCCAGACTCATGTAAGTAGTGTCTTGGAATGAGCTGAAGTCATGAAAAAGAAACAAGTTTGCCCTTGATTGTCAACATCTGTGCCTTGGCAAAAACATAAAATGAGGGTGTTAAGGGGCCCTCTCCTACATATGGTAGGTGAGTAGTACATGGTCGTTCAATTATACAGCCTTTTGAGCCCCAAATGTGGCTTACAGAAATCTTAACTCAAAATCTGAATAGATGCCTTAAGTTAATCAAATCACTGATCTGAAGAATGCCACTCAAGCTCATAGTTAGTAAGACACAGCAAAATAAATGACTATCAGCTATATTCCCTGTCCGCACAAAGATGAATTAGAATCCCTCTCCTGAAAGAACTCAGTCTGGTGGTGCTGGGAGGAGGCTTGGGGAGAAGTGAGGAAGAAAGACGCTAATCAGAATTGGTACTGTCCCGTGGTGTGAATTTCTAAAGATGCTCAGGGAGAGGTCCTGTGAGATTTGACTGGGTGTTCCAGTCACTATTGCCCTATTTGATTTTTCATTCTTGGGATTTAAAAAAAGATAGAGTAACTGTCATATTTTAAGGATGCTGTTGCTTAAAAGGGGATGGGAACAGCCTAGTAGAGTAATTTTGAGTCTTTGTCTAGAGGTGATGCTGAAAAACACTGTTTTGTCTTCAACAGATAACTTGTGAACAGTCTGCAAAGCTGGTGGCATTATGCCTCTCAAAGATTCTGCAGCCAGGGCCAATCAGATTGGTTCTTGTTTTATTTAGTGTTTCCTAGTTCCATTCTCCTGGCTCCTGAACTGACAAGTTCACTGGGCTTCACTTGACACAGAGTGTCAAGATTATTATTTTTGAGTATTAGGAACCCCTTTCCATACCCCCACAACCATAATGTAGGCAGCTTCCTAAAGAACAGTACTGGCTACAATGGGCCATGAACTAGTACACGAGGGTTGGAGGAATCAGAAGTTTAAAGGCTGGGCCCAGAGATGAAGCCAGAGGTCCATAGCCCTTGACACAGTCCTTGGGGGGATGACCTCTACTCCAATTAACTACTGAGCTAAACATGGGCTGGTTTTTGTTCATCTTAAATCAAGAATACAAAGCTTTGTCCACCTGAGCCCAGGCGCTGAGGGACTAATGGCCCCATTATTTTGTGTCGTGAACTGAGACTTTGGCGACTGCTGATAATGTGAAACAGGAAAGTGCCTGGAAGGAGATGTCATGCTGCACAAAGACTACAGTAGGATGGCAGAAGCTGACCCTGAAGAGCTTCTCAGCATATGGCACACTACTGTTCTTTAGTGTTAAAGAGACATGTTCTAAATCCTTGTTGTCAAGAAAAATACCTGTTTAAGTAGGGCCTTTTATAAAGGAGGTGGGGCAGTTTCATAAACTTCTGCCTGAAAAAAGACTTTTATGTTCTAGACCAGCTGTGGGATGGTAGAGGGGGGCAGTCACTGAGAGCAACGACCATGGATTTGGATTGTGCAAGTGAAGAGATAAATAACAGTAAGGCCTAGGACAGGAAAGCATGCTGCCTATCTGAAAGGCGGTTTTAAAGCTAAGAACAGGAGCTGGTAGAAGATAAGACCCTGAAAGGTTGGCAAAGTAATTGGGAATGCACTTAGAGGTCACTGTATAATGGAGTCATGCACAGCCCAGCACTGCAAGACAGTCAGATTTAATGGCCAAGGGCATGATCGTGGAAGTGGGAAGTAGCATAGCACATCTCTTTGAGGACCAGCTCTCTGTTAGACATTGTGACAGCTCTAAACTAGTCATGACCTAATGCATTTCATTGTCTATAGATTAGTTCCCTTAACACACCAGGTCCAAAATATTTTTCTCCCAGGGTTCTTTGTTAGGCAATCTGACAGATGAATAGGTAGTATTTGTTTAAATGATGCCATAGAAAGGTAGGCTGACAGGTCTTTCTGTGCTCTTAGATGGTCTCTCCCCTCAACAACTCCAAGCAGGAGATTCAGCCTATTAGATCTCACAAGAATACTGGTGATAGCAGATGTTAGTATTTTTATGTTTTGTTTTTAACTATTTTTTTTTTCATTTAAGCCTCTTATCTTTCTTGGTCTTCCCCTGTGGTTGTATATCTGTCAATATTCTAAATATTCACTTTTAGGATTTTAGATTTATTATATAGAAAATAAAATACAAACAACCTTAATATTAAACTTCTCATCAAAGTGCTAAACAGGTAAGTCTCCTATGCATACACCATCGGCTAGGGGCACTCTAAAGGTTTTAGCACCTTTAAAATCATATGAAGTTTGAAATGCCAGTTCTGGCTTTGAAATGCCAGTTCTGGTAGAGAGAAGGGTCATTCCAGTATCAAATGATATTATCAGCATCTAAATGAGCTGAGCCACACTGCAAGGACTTACAGATGACATTATCCACAAGACAAAATCTGAAGGCCTTAGCCAGACCCTGTGAGTTCTAATGAAATCAGATTTAGCATCACTTACGGCTTTCCTTTGTTTTATGTCATTCACGTAACTGGAAACTTGAAGTGGAGGCAACACATCAGACCAGGGGGTTTAGATAACTCGTGGGTTTGATTGGCGTCATGAATGACTGCTTTACATAAGCAGTCCTAGTCAGTTGCATTATATTGTAGTTGAAGTCTAGCTTCAGTCCATTGCTAGGGTAGTCAGATCCATATAGCAAGGAAGAGAGAAAAAAAAATCAATAGACAAAATGAGCCCCAAACTAAAGAACTCAAGGCAAAAATTTCTAGGTATAAAATATCTGATCATCTCAATCTTAAATACCTGCCAAAAAGCATGTTTTTTACCCCTATTGATTTGTGTCTGGGATTTGTGTATAGAGTGAATTGATGCTATTCAGGATACAGATTCATTTGGGAAAAAAATTTGCCTTTAAATTACCCCATGCTTTAAGATAATTCCTTACCTTAAAGGTATCTTACCTTTAAGATAATTCCCTACATCCCAAGTATGATCAGTGTGTTCTTGCCAATGTCAAGATAGCAGACTCGGTATCTTGTACCCATACTTTTCCATTTTAGAAAAAAAAGAGCCAAAGGCAACCTTACAGCCCTTTAAACTACTGTTTGCAAAATTGGGTCATAAACTAGAACAGGAGATTGCAGAACTGATCACAGTTTGTAGGGGTAGGAAACAGGTAAGAATCGTCATCAAACACTCTCTGGAAGACATGGATTAGATTGATGCCTGTGGAGTCTTTTCTTCAGGGACAGCTAGGAAGACTTTCAGCTGTGAAAAATATAAGCTTCCGGGTATTGGAGATTCAATGATATGAACAGATCATAACCCTTCATTTTTAAACCTTAAGTTATTTTTCCACAGAGTTCCTCTCTGTGGAGGAGGGACTCCTCACTAGGAAGTACTTTGAGGTTATATGAGACAGTCAGTCCCCTGTGTTACTGCCCTTAATGTAACTGCTGTAGAAACACTTATAAATGGTAGGCAGCTCATTGGTGAAACAAAATAATCTGCCATGTGTAAAACATTCCCCAGTAGTCTTGTGACTTTGCTGCTGCTCTTAAGAGCAGCTACACACTGCTAATGGCTTCCTTTACTACCTAGCCCCAGTGTTCCTTTGTGTTTGAAGCATTCAGGGTAGGAGAATTCGGCTTTTCAGCAGCCTCACATTGAGCTGCTAGATGAGGTTTATATCCAGGGCTGAGGTAGTGGTAAAGAGCTGCTTCTGATACCACTATTTCTCTAGTAAAAGTTTGGTTGATTAAAACTAGAGTCTACAACACTTAATCAGAGCCAGCTATATCTGAGCCAATCAAGATAATTAGTGGGCTAAACATGACTACCATGTCAAACAGACTTTTTAGTGTGTAGGCTACCGACTGTGAAACGAGGCCATGCAGCCTACAAGCACATTGCAAATCCTGGTGCATTGTCTTTCTTGGAAATTCCTGTGCATCCTTTAAGACTCAAGTGAATTGCCACGTTCTATTTTAAGCCTCCCTCAGTTCCTCTATTTTTGTTCCCATATTTTTTTCAGGCCTCTTCTGCGTTGATCACATTTGGCTAACAGTCTTCTTCTTCTTCTTTTTTTTTTTTTTTATGTAGACTGTGATTTATTTAAAAAGAGATATTCTTTTATATCTCAGCACTCCAAAAGAGATTGTTCTCTACCACTCAACACCAGGTCAAAACTTGGAATAAAATAGATGAATGATGAATTAATAAAGAATGAAACCATACCTAGTTCACATTATGCATATGCTTGTTACGATTACAGCAACTCTCAGATCTGATTGAGACTGAGGAAGTAATAATGGTACTGGTAGGGACTGAGCAGATAGCTGTATCTGTGTGTGTACAGAGGAGGGGAGAAGTCATACCACGAAAGATGAGGTCAGATTATAAGAACTGCCACATTGAGTAGTTGCATCAAGTACAAACACCATAAAGTGTATTTAGACAGCCCTAGACAGTCTAAGCCAGTCACTGAACATGACATCTTAGTGTAGTTGCGATATACAAGAAGCATGAGTATTGATGCTGCTTCCAATATAAAGGGACAAACTGCTTTATAGTATTGCTTAATGCAGTGCAGGGATACTGTAAAATGACGATACTAAACATTGTCCTCTGTATAACGTGCTGTACTTTGTATAACTGACTGCACTCCAGGTCTGTTTATTTCGTCATGTTTCAGCAGAAGAGTGTGTACTAAATGTATCATAGCTTCCCTATCGATAGGCAATAAAAATTCAACTACAGCATGATCTTAGAGGGCCTCTATCATGTATGTAGCCCATGCTGACAGAGTGTTGCATGATACATGGTGGCATTTCCTTTTAAATTCTAATGTATCTAATGCCTTGTTGTTTCCTCCTTTAGGAAGTACAGCGTTGTACAGCTGATATGAACATCACTGCAGAACATTCCAATCATCCAGATAACAAGCACAAAAACAGATACATCAACATTTTAGCATGTGAGTAATGAGCTTTAAACGATCTTGAACTGTGAGGAAATGACATCTTCATGCTGCATAGAAAGTCAAATAGTGAGAGCCAGAAGAACAAGAAAGGCTACCTGAAAGCTAGCATAGCATGAGGTTTACACAGGGCGGATATTTCCTGCCCCCGGGGTCTACTTGAGAGCTAACATATCATAAGGTATATACAGTGTGGGGTATTTCCTGCCCCTGGGGTCTACCTGAGAGCTAGCATATCACAGGGTATACACCCTGCAGAGCATTCCCTGCCCCTGTGGTCTTTCATTGGACTGCCAGAACTCAGAGAGCTTAATAACTAAGAGAACTAAGTAACTAAGAGAAACGGTCCTGGGCTTTTGTATTTTCACATGAGGTGACATCATATCAGATCTTGGGAGACAAAGTATAAATGTACTGTGGCTACCCTGACATTGTTTTTAACCAGTGAGAGGCAAGTCTTTTTAATATGATTTTGGAGAGCTGAATCAAATAAGCCTAATTTCAAAACAATTTAAAATTATAGCTACATGGGTATATGCTCTGAAAAATGGTAGGAACCAATTTCATGGTTAACACATACTGTAATAAGGACCCAATTACACAGAATAGATTATCTAAGGACTCTAAATTAGACCACTTAAAGTTTGAATACAGCTATAAAGATTTTTGAATAAAATGTTAATGAGGTCATCTACATGCCATTTAAAGGATGCAGTTCACTGGGTCTATTCAGGGATGTTGTCATAACCACAATCTAATTTTCAAGTATTTCTAGCAACAAGAAACTCCATGGCTGTTAACTGACACCCTCCCCCTTCTCAGGATTTGAATTTTTCTCAACAGTAGCTATGGATGGACTCCTACATGTGAAGCCTTTGTGTCTGGCTTCTCCTAGTCAGAATCATTTCAGAGTTCATCCACGTTGGACTATGTACCGGGAAATCCATTCACTTTCAGTACTGCATAGCTTGGATAAATATTTTGCTTACTCCATTCATCATCTGATAGGTGCTTGGGTCTTATTCAGTGTGGGGCTATTAAGAGCAATGCTGTTAGAAACATTCACAGACAGACTTTATGTAGACCTGTTTTCTGCTGCTTTCTTTGGTGCATACGTATGAGTGTAGTCGCTGGTGTATGGATGAGCCTGTCTTCCACGTTTAGGAGAGTGGACAGGCTTTTTTCAAAGGCTGTGCTGAGTTCTGTTCTCACTGGCAGTGTAGGACAGGTCCAGTGACTCCACGCTTATACAGAAGCATCCTCCTTTGCTTTATGGGAGGAGTCTTAGTGATGGTATGGGGTGGGAACCACTGGTGCACATTCCTTTGTGACTTCCTGAGTGGTCAGTAGGCTGGATGCTTTTTGTATGCCCCTTGGCTATCTGTATATCTTCTTTTGGGAAAACCAATTCTCATATTTTTTTCTTCCACTTTTTCTTAGCTGAATTTTATCTCTTTACTTTGAACTTTATATATTGTGGGATTCCCTATACTTCGTCTCATTCTTTGCCTTATCTTTTCATTTTCTTAATGGTGCCCTCTAAAATCTTGAAAAGTCTGTCTTCAAAAGTCCATCAATATCTAACTTAGCCTGTTTTTGGTTGTTGGTGGTGTTTATAAAGTCGTTTCTTAGAAAGGAAAGACCATTCCAAGTTTACTCCTTTGGCTTTTGTCTTCAAACTTTTATGGTTTTAGCACTCCTGTTTGGGTCTTCCACCCATTTGATTACATTTTTCTGTGTTCTGAGGTAGGAGCTAGTCTTCATTTTGTTGCATGGGAATATCTCCTTGTACTGTGGCCTAAGATTTAAGGTTTTCTCATATTGGATTGGATGAGCACGGTATTGGCAGTCATCTTACTGTAAGGTAATGAGTTGCTTCTGGGTCCTGGATTCTGTTTCTGGTGATGTCTGCCTTAGTTCTATTGCCAACACTGCACTGCTGTAGTTAGTGACAGCTTTGTGGCAAAGTTTGAAATTAGAAACTAAGAGTCTCCTGTCCAGGCTCTTAGTCCCTTGCACTTTCATGTGAACTTTAGCATCAACTAGATTCTTAGTACATAATATGGAGCCAGGATTCTGATGAGGATTGTAATGAATGGAAGATGAATTTCAGAACCATTGACATTTTAATATTGTCTTAGTGTTGTGAAGGTGGATGTCTTTCCACTTTGATCTTCTTATTTCTTTCAACTGTGTTTATATTTGCATTGCACAAGCTTTTGCTACCTTTGTGGATTTATTCCTGCTTTATTGTTTTTGGTTTGGGTTTATGAGATTTGTTTATATGAGTATGTGTGTTTGCTTACACGGATGTCTTTGCACCGTGTGCATGCAGTGCTCACAGAGTCCAGAAGAGGGTGTTAGGTCCCCTTAGAATTGGAGTCACAGACAGTTGTTAGCCACCATGCAGGTACTTGGGATAGAACCCCAGTCTTCTGCAAGAGCAGTAAGTACTCCTAACCACTGAGCTATCTATTCGCCCATCCCATTTTATTCTTTTTGATGCGTATTTCAAATGAAAATGTTCAGTGTATTGATTATATCTCATGCAGCCCTGTTACACCCATTCATACTAAGAGATAATTTTTGTGAACCCCTTTGGGCTTATATATGTTAGATCATATCATATATGAATAGAGATAGTTTTATTTGTCCTAATTTCTAAAAGGACAACTTGCTTTTAGTAGGACTGTTGGTTTCATTTCTATGAATGAGTAAAGAGAAAGTGAGAAGGTACAGAAAAAAAAAAATCTTTTTGTTTTCTTCTAGTCTCTGCATGTATCAACTTTACAGTTGTGAATAGAGATCATCTCTGCTTCATAAGTTCACAAGTTGTGTTCTAGCCAATCATATTCTGTTACATTACCTATCACATTCCTCTATCCCTTTGTTCATGACTTTATATAGCAAAGGACACCAAAGAATTGTCACAGAGACCAGTAAGATCAGATGTTGAGTATGCCAAAATCATGATAGAGGAAAACTCTGAGTCTTTCCAGTCCTCTGGGAAGATGGCTGAATACTTCCGCACAGAGCAGTTAAACATCCTACAGATATTGGTATTCATAGAAAGTCACTCATATATAAAAAACATTATTTAAACTTTTTTATACAGCATACTTTGATCCTATTCATTTTTCTCCCCAACTTTCTGCAGCATCATTATTCATACAACCTCATGAGTTCTTGTTCATGTTGTGTTCTCTCCCCATCTCCCCCCAGTCGTCCCCCCCCCCCCCCGGTCTAAATTTATAGTACTAGGAAGAGGATTGAAGAATGGATAATCAAAGATCCTTGAGTTTGTTTTTTAAATAGAAAAATGAAAATTTGGAGTATTATAAAAATTTCCAGGAGTTTTATAAGAACTAGTAAAGGCTACGATTTGTGCTCCTGGGACCCTCGCTGGGATAGCGTGCAGTGCTGGGGTAGTTTTGAAGCTGTATTCACTAGCTGCTCATCGCAGCTCCTGGTCACCTTCTCTTACAGATGCTGCCAGTTGTTGCTGTTTTAATTCTCCTTTTGTTTTTGTCTTTTATTCTCCGCAGATGATCACAGTAGAGTGAAGTTAAGACCTTTACCAGGAAAAGACTCTAAGCACAGCGACTACATCAATGCAAACTATGTCGATGTAAGTCAGAAAGGTTCTTAGACTTGTTTCAGGAAACTGGAGACTGATAGAGATGGTTGGGTGTATTTTAGCACTACACAGAAGTGTCACTAGAAACATGTGGGAAGTACTGTTGCATGTGGAAGGTACTTGAATTAACTGTTCTTCTGTGATACCGCTTTCATCTCACTTTGTGTTGTCATCTTTGAAGGGTTACAACAAAGCAAAAGCCTACATTGCCACCCAGGGACCTTTAAAGTCTACATTTGAAGATTTCTGGAGGATGATTTGGGAACAAAATACAGGAATCATCATCATGATTACAAACCTTGTGGAAAAAGGAAGGGTAAGAACCTGTTACGTTCCTACCTTTTCATTTTGTGAATGAAAGTGAATTATGTGTCTGCTGTGGGGAAGAAAACTGACTGGGTGTAAAGAATAGATGAGTTCTCTCCACATGGAATTGCTCGTGTTCTCTGAAAGAGCTAAGGTCTCACAGGTGCAAATTAATATTGTCACATTGGCGTGTTTTAGGGGTGCAGTGAGACAAATAGGTGCATGCTCTGGTATGGAAGTTTTAGAGACACTCACATTTGAGATGAGAAACAGGTTAAAAGGAAAAAGAACATAAAAGAATAGGAGACAGCAATAACCAGGGAGGTTGGAAAATGCATGGTGTAAGAAAGAAACTAAAGGGAAAGCAGAGACTAACTCCGTTGACCATCATGAAGAGTGTAGTTGAATGCATTGTATTTTTAGTTGTGGAGATGGTACTGATAGAGGCTAGACTACAGACTAAGTCTCAGGTTCATTGTCTATGAAGTCCTGGTTTGGTTGGTGGTAACAGAGATTCCCAGCCTGTCTTCTGTAAGCCCAGCCCCGCTGTATCACAGTCTACTCATATTTTGTATAAGCTTCTCTCTTAAGCTCTCTCTCTTTCTCTCTCTTCCTTTCTCCCTCCCTCTTTGTCTCTCTGTCTCCTGTGTATGTGTGTTGATAATAAGTAAATACTGGACCATTTATCAGATGTTAGACAAACTTATCCCAAGTCATGAACTTCTTCAGGATCACACTAGCCTTTAAGTATTTCATCCCATACCTTTCTTTTTTAGTTAAAAAAAAAAAATGACAATATTATCTGTGTCTTAAAACTGTTGTTTGAAAACCCTAACTTTTTCCTTTTTGCAGAGAAAATGTGATCAGTATTGGCCAATGGAGAACAGTGAGGAGTATGGAAACATTATTGTCACACTGAAGAGCACAAAAGTACATGCCTGCTACACTGTCCGTCGATTTTCAGTCAGAAATACAAAAGTGAAAAAGGTGTGTGCACACTGGGTGAGCCGTACAGAGACTACTGCACAATGAAGGCAAATCCAAACTTTTAGGATTTTTTTCACAACGTTTGGGGTGGGTTTTTTTTGTTTTGTTTTGTTTGGGGAGAGGTTGAGGCAGGGTCTCAAAAACAAACATAGCTTAGACTGGTCCCAAACTGGCTGTGTAACTGAGATCATTGAGTTAGTCCTCACATCTGTACATCTTGAGTGTGGGATTACAGGCTTGCTCTGCCAATACTAGGTTTATATCATGCTATGAATCCAACTAGGACTCTACCCACTGAACTATCCAGCCCTTTATCTTTTTTTGCTCAATGTCTGTGTACCATGTGACAGGCATTGGTAACATGCATGAGACCAGTTAGGTGCCCTGGCTGGCTCCTCTTGTTTTCACTACCCTGGCTTCATAAGGGTCATCTGAGGTGGAGGACACAGCAAACCCATTTGTTGGTTTTCCTATTTGTCACCAACTTCCTGACAGCTTCAGTGCAGTGTTTCACAAAAAGTATCCCAAGTTCTTCCAGTCCCAAAGACAGTTATTTAAAACCCATGGTCTGCTGTCCAGTAAGAAAAGTGGCTGCTACATAGTTTGTCCCCACTTTTAAAAATGGGCAGTGAACACAAGTGATCACAGTGTTTGAGTTCGTGTTTTGTCATGTGACTTAATCATAGCATCTTTTTCTATAAACTGGTAGTATTACGAGAATCATTTTGTGGAAATGCTGCTTTCAAGTTATCTCAGCTTTCCCCCCCCCCCCCTCAAATCCCCTGTCACAACAAGAGTCACCACAGCAGTATTTTGGAACCTAGATAGCAGCTCAGTGAGAAAGTACAGTTCTGGTGCTCTTGAGTCTGGCAGTTGTCTGAAGCAGTGCCGTTCCATCTTCATGGGCATCTCAGGGAATGCAGTCAAATGGTAGCCCCCTTGCCATGGAAGAATCCACATCTACTCAGCTCTAAAAGACTAGCAGTCCTTCCTTGGTGTGACTATAGCACAAGCTGCACTGTTGTAAATCAGCAATGCTGTGTGTTCTTCATAGTTCATTTTCTGGGTGGTCCAGGCCAATCAATAAATCTCAAAAATTTAGAGAGCTCATAGGAGAGCTTCAAGTATTTAAATGGGCCCAGTTCTTCTCTGATAACAGCTTGTGAGAGAAATCAGTAGGAACTCGGGGTATTCTGTTTGACCAAAGCATAGAGAGTCATCTAATTGGGTTAGTGAGTTTGTAAAATGTTTGGTTCTAAATGGCAGCTACTCTGTAAAAGTCACTTGTGAGAGTGCCGGAGAAATGAGACTTGGCCCTGGGCTATAGGGCTGTAAGTTTATTTCCCACATCTGACTTCCCCTCGATTCTTGTAGAACGTATGGCTGTATGGACCCCTAGCTCGAGGTGCCCAGACTGTTTGGTGGAGTAGAAATGGGAATGGCAGGTAAAAGCAAAGCACACAGCTAGGCAGCAAGTCAGGAAAAGCAGGCTTTGTGGGAGAGCTCACAGTGCCTTGGATTATTCTAAGTCTAAAAGCCTGGTATTGTTAAATGTTCATTCTTGGAACAATTTTATTCTTCTCTTCTAAGAGATGTGGATGTTACCATGAGACAACATAAAAGTTGGCCACAAACAGGAGATAATTTAGCCCCCAAACAGTAGTTTAAGGACTGAGAACCTTAAGATCATGTTTCCTGATAACTTTGTACTATTCTAAACCAGGAGCTAATCCTGGAGGCTCAAGGTGCCTATTGACACTTTTCTTTCCACAGGGCCAGAAGGGAAACCCCAAGGGTCGTCAGAATGAGAGGACAGTGATCCAGTATCACTACACTCAGTGGCCTGACATGGGAGTCCCTGAGTACACCCTCCCCGTCCTGACCTTTGTACGGAGATCGTCAGCAGCTCGGATACCAGACATGGGCCCCGTGTTGGTACACTGCAGGTAGGGCCAGTGTACAGAGTGAGTGGGAGCTGGGGATGTGAGCCCTATGAACTCGGCCTGTGCTCAGACAAGACATAGAGTTCCTGTGGCCTGTGGCCTCTCTCTGAGCACCGGGGTGGGTAAACTGGGTGCAGCGATGAATAAGTACACTTCTGTCACATGAAAACATCATCTGTAGCTTTGAGAAAAAGATTGTCAGATTGACTAAACTCTAGTTTTTACAAAATGATCTTGGTAAGATCCAACTACTGTAAGGAAATTGTGGGCTCCGCCTAAGAAAATTGGGATATAAATGACAACATTCCATAGCAGAGATTCCAGTCTTTGTCTAAATAGATTTTCTGAGGGAACCCTCTAAATGACATGTATGAAAGTGTTCTATTAATTTCTAACATATGTGCTACATATACTAGTGCTTACAAAAGCTATTGAAAAATTCATATCTTCTCTGAACTAACTAGAACAACTGTAGATGATTGTTTAAATGTCTTTACTGTATGTTTTACTTATGAATGCATCCATCACGTTCCCCTACATTGGTGTTTCAGTTACCTCTTCTGTGGCTGATGTTGCATAGCTGTGCAGCACTTCGTAAGCATCTCTGTGGGCATCCTGACAATATGCTTTAGCAAACCAAGTCATTTGCAGAAGATACACCCATGTTTAAGCCCTTATGAGAGCTCTACCTGTTCACTAATCCATTTTGCAACTACCAGTGGAAATAAGTCTGCCAAACTGCTGGGTATTGTGCTAGATGAGTGATCTCCTGGAGGCATTCTTCCAGAATAAGCCTGCCTTGCACTACAAATTTCAGTTCTTCTTGGACATCTTCTAAAATAGGAATTAGGAAAATAATTACAAGAGGCCAAATTTTCTGGGCATACCATTCTCCTTTACTAAGAGGAAAATGTCCCATCAATAGATTTTTCTACTGCTGAGAACATTGGTTGGCTTCTAAGTTGCCTGAGGTAGAGGCAGGCAGAGAGAGTTGTACAGAAAAGGGATTTCAGTCAAAGGGTAAGTTTCCAGATTCTATAAGAGAGCCTTAGAACTAAGTGCCTGCCTCGGGTGTGACGACGGCTGCCACAAAGCACCTCTAGCTCCATTGGTTTGATCTGCAAGGAAAACTGAGATGGCAGCTATGTCCTGTTTGTCATCCTAGAGTCAGAAAGTATTCTGTGCTCTTCATCAGGGCTAGGTGATGGGAAGTGTCCAGATGATATCTGTATGAATAGCGCATGTCATCTCCAGTAGGCTGTCTGGAATAGGCTACTGTTCATGAGCTTTTACTTTGGATTTTTTTTTTCTGGACAATGGTTCAAAGTACTAGGTGAATGCCTTCATCTCTTACAGTGCTGGTGTGGGCAGGACGGGCACCTATATTGTCATAGACAGCATGCTGCAACAGATAAAAGACAAGAGCACAGTCAATGTCCTGGGATTCCTGAAGCATATCAGGACACAGCGTAACTACCTCGTCCAGACTGAGGTAAGGGACATCCCACACAGGTCAAAACAAGCTGAGGAGAAAGATGCATTCCCAGAGGCCTTGAAGAGATATATGGGTATGTCCTTGAGATTTCTGAAGAGTATGCTCTTTCTGGATCACAGTTTTCTATCATTGTCTTAATGTCAGGACACCAGGAATCAGCCACAGTTACACCGAGTCATACTCCAGATCACAGGAAATTAAGCTGCTCCCTGGCAAATGTGGGAAAGTTGGTCCTTGAGCCCTTTATTGAACATGTGTTTATAGCTGTGTGCTATTGTCACTATGTCTAGACATAGTGGAGGAATACAGACCTAAACTCAACCACAGGTCTCTCCCCAGAGTAAGTTACAGTGAATCAGCAAGTGAATACTGGTGTCACCATCAAGCTACAAACACTTGAGAAATGCACTGTAGATCCTTGTCCAGGGCAGTGTTGATCTACAATCAACTTTATGAGTGGGTAGCTCCCCCTAGCAGATCCCCTCAGTGACCGCCACACATCCTATCTTTCAGGAGCAGTACATTTTCATCCACGATGCCTTGTTGGAAGCCATCCTCGGAAAGGAGACTGAAGTATCTTCAAATCAGCTGCATAGCTATGTTAACAGCATCCTCATACCAGGAGTAGGAGGAAAGACACGGCTGGAAAAGCAGTTCAAGGTAGGGCTCTGCATAGTGTCTTTAGTAAAGACAGGAATTAGAAACCGCCCTGGATTTGGGTCATGTCTTCTTTATATTCCTGCGGACATTGAAATGGATTATTGATTTGACTCCATAGTGTGATGTGAAGGGACATTTTGACCATATGTACATGCTGACATTCAAATAGATGTGTCACAGTGCTTTATTTTCTTCTGAGCTTTAGCTGATGGCTTTATCTGAGTGTAGGTAGACATCATCCTCTAGCCCATTAAGGCTTTCAGCCAGTTTTCTGGCCCCCAAAATACTGGAGGTTTTTGTTTGTTTGTTTGTTTTTGTTGTTGTTTTTCCCCCCTCAGAAGTATTCAGTAATACTTTTATGGTAGACAGTTATTTGATCCAGGAGTGGTAGCATGTGCCAGTAATCACAGTACTCAGGCTGAGGCAGAAGGATCACAAGTTCAAGATCAGCCTTTGCTATAGAGAACCTGTCAGAAGAGAAAGGGGGAGAGGGGAGTGACTATGTACATGTCGTGATCAAAATATACTTCTTTGAAAAATCATCACAGAAGGCATTGGGAAACTTTTAAAAAGGGAGTTACTAAGTAGTGGAGATAAACCTTAACTTGTTTTAATGAACAGGAAGTCTAGTAGTAGTTAAGACATGTATGTGGTAGGAGGCAAAGATGACTGGAGTCATTAATTGTCACTTTCAGACCCTGTCTTCCCTTTTTCTTAGCTTCACTCTGTCTTTCAGCTCTAGATTTTGCACATTGCACTGCATGTCATTTCCACATTCTATATCAGAATGGAAAGGATGAGTGCAGTTCAAGTCTTCTTGGAGAAACTTGCCCTAGACTCTGAAATCCAGCTGAAGAAATGAGACATCCAAATAAATTATAAAGTGGCATGAAGTGAAAAACAAATTAATTTTACAGAGTTCAGTCATAACACCAATTTCAAATTTCCAATTCTCCTCTAAACAGCCTAACTCCTCTAAACTGAGCTAATTAGATGGCATGGTATTAGTTTAAATGTGAAAAAAATGGGTTGTCACAAAACATTACATACCAAAAAAAATTTTTTTTAATTGTTTTCCTTTGTTTTACACATCTGGGATATTGAAGATTTCAGAGTCTAGGAAAAATTTGAATGTGAAAATGAAAAGCGAACAAATTCGTCTCATTTTGTCCATCTTGACACAAATGAAAACTGTTTACATATAGGCCAAAAAATACAATAATAGAATATTAAGGGCATTCTTACATTAAAAATCTAAAATTCAAAATGATTCAGAATTCAGACCTTTCTGATTGCCTACATGATGTCATAAAAGGAATTTCCATACCATGACATCATTGTTTCATGCACACACAAGAAAAAGATATGTAAAATTGCCATCATACTGTGATTCATGTCCCCAAGATATGTGCTATAAGATACAGAGATGACAAACAGGCTACTTCCAAGCATTAATTCTTGGTTAGGGTTAGGGTTAGGTCTTATTTGTGCTTTTAAAAAAAAAAAAAAAGAAAAGAAAAAGATTTATTTATTTATTTATTTGTTTAATTTATGTATATGAGTGCTCTGTCAACTTTATGACAGAAGAGGGTATCAAATCCCACTATAGATGATTGTGAGCCACCTTTTGGGGGCTGGGAATTGAACTCAGGACATCTGGAAGAGGAGCCAGTGCTCTTATCCGCTGAACTCCCAATCTGTGTTTATGTATACTTTTAAAAGAACTCACTAAACAAACCAGCCTTTCTTTAAGGCAGTAGCCATTTTCAGAAACTCAAAAATGAGTATACCCTCTAAGGCCCAGGACAGTGGCAGTGAAAGGCCTGGAGAGATTATTTTCATGTATTTCATAAAGATAGAATCCCTGTTCTTGTTTTGCTGCTCATGTCATGTGATAGACACACAGCACTGACATTTTCTTCAGTGATACAATCACTGGTGAGTTGCCTACGCTCTACAAAATAACCTCTCACTCATGCTTATAGAAGTAACACTAATTAGACATACAAGTTGGGGAGTGTGTTGCGAAGAAGGAAAGATTCAACTGCACTGGGGCGATGATGAAAGGGCCATAGGGGGTGAAAATGACCAAGATATACTAACGACATGTGTGAAACTGTCAAAGAGTTAAAAAACAAATTAAGATGGAGCACAAAAGCAGCTGGGCCTAGTTACGTAAATAAGAAGAGTAACACTCCTGGGCTGTAGGATAAAAAGCATGCCATCAGCAGAAATGGGCAGAGAATCAATAGGGCTTTTCTTCAAGAGATATGATTAGATCTTAAATAAGTGATGCAGGATAGACTTGACTCTGATATGCCATTGGAGAATTAGAGACAAAATTCCAAATCGCAGTGACATCTTACGCAGAAAAATCCACAGTGTTCAGTAAATAGCATGTACACAGTACCTTCACTCCAGACCCCGAGGACCTGGCAGTAGATACAAGTCAAGGACACAGCCTAGCCACCAAGAGAAGGTCCACAAGTGAAGCACAGGTGTTCTTTGGGGGTACAAAAATATTTTTAGTGCCTACTAGTGTGGCTGGTGAGTGTAGGCAGGCAACAGCGATTGTACCTTTGAATATGCCAAAAGTGCTCCTCCCTTTCAGCTGATCACGCAATGTAATGCAAAGTACGTGGAGTGCTTCAGTGCCCAGAAGGAGTGTAACAAGGAGAAGAACAGGAACTCTTCCGTTGTGCCAGGTGAGACATTATCTCCGTGGTTCAGTGGGTGAACATTCTGAGACTAGACTTTGGGATTGTGTAAGGACACCCACTTAGCCAAGGAGACATGGGATATTCAGTTCACCAACCGAGAGCAGTTTGAGGCAAATAAAATCAGTGGATTTGAACACCGGCAAGTCAGGCTGACACGGAACCTAATTTTGATTTGCCTCAACATGTCACAATATTTCAGCTTTAAAAAAAAAAAATGACAATAAAGGTGCTGTCCCTGTGATAGTAAGACTTTGGGTCTCAGATTCATCTGAACTAATTAGAACTATAATCACTAAATTAATTATTGAGATCTGGCCCTATTGGCTGTGGTGGTCTATGTATACACAACTCGGGACTTAGCAGAGAATATGTTGTATACCCTGTAAACACAGGCATTTGTTGCTCATTGGGTAGATCTAGCTCTATTTAAAGGGTCACTGCTCTCTACACCCTTCATGGAGAGAAGGTCACTAAGGGATTGAAAGAGACGAACAAAGTACAGTATGTTAGAGTAACTGTAGGAAAGTAACAAACCAGGGTCAGCTTTCCTGAAACACTTTTCCATGTTTATACTCTAATAGGCTGTGAAAGCCTTTCCTACAGTTAGATTTTTATCCTACAGTGTCTGTCCCGCGTACCCAGGGAAGTTTTTATTTTATGCACTCCTTAGCAGATAACACCTAAGCTTGTTTAAATGTGCTGGTCTTAGGAAGGAGCCAGGGGGTCATGCCATTCACCAAGTAAATCCGAGGAACAATTGCCAGTTCCTTTGAACAATAAGGCAAATGTGGTGTTATTGTTTCTTTCCATATGATAGCTGAGCGTGCTCGAGTGGGACTTGCACCATTGCCCGGAATGAAAGGAACAGATTACATTAATGCTTCGTACATCATGGTGAGCGTCTACCGTTACCACCTTTCAGTTTAATTGTCTGTATTTGTGATTAAGGAGCGCATACCACCCATGTGACCGATTTCATTTTCTAAGTAATTTCTCAATGTATAACATCAAACGCATAGAAATTTCTGTGCTTGAAACTTTTAACAAAAGATGCCTAAAGGGTGGGAATACAAAAATATCTAAATTAAGCAAAAATGCTTCTTAAGGAATTAATTTTATTGTTAATTCGCCCAGCTAGCTTTTAAATAAATGTTGAAATTGCCGTTAAGTAAAAAACAGCAGGGGTAACTTGAAGTGAATTGCATGTAGAGAGGAAATTGTCTGCACAATGTTCACAGAAGTACAACTTAAAATTAACCAAGTGTACTGAATGCCTTTCTCAAGTCTTTTAGTGTAGTCAAAGTAATGCTGCCCTGTTACAGAATGTATTTTACCACCACAAAGTTACAGTGACACATACCTAGTCACTAATTCCTCTTCTCCCTAACTGAAGGGCTATTACAGAAGCAACGAATTCATTATAACACAGCACCCTCTGCCACACACTACGAAAGATTTCTGGAGGATGATTTGGGATCATAACGCACAGATCATTGTCATGCTGCCAGACAACCAGAGCCTGGTGAGTAGAGCACATCTGCTGTATATTAACAAGCCCATGAGGCCACAGACATAACTTATGGCGATACCTTGCCATGGGCTGTTGTGCCTGTGTATGCTAAGAAGGGTGTTTTCATAGCATTGTCCCTCTCACTTACATACCTGATTCCTCAATGCTGTTTATCCTGCTCTTCAATCACACTCTCGTGGCTGGGTAAAGGCTTTGAAAACAATCCTTTGAGTAAACTCCCATAATAGGACTTACTTCTTAGCCACTGCATGCCACTTTTGGAAAACGGATCACTTATTACATTTAGGATATATGTGACTGTGTTTTCCTTGTATGAATTAACTTAACTTGATAGCCAGAGAAACTGAAGCAATGACCTTGTCCAAGAGCATGCAATAATAATTAGTCTCAGATGTGTACCTAAGTCACCTGTGTGTCCAAAGTCCATGCTTTTAATCATTTTACTGTGTCCCATCGTACATCAGAGGAATGCCAATAATGTTTCCATTTCATAGTCAGGGCCATAGTAGAGACAGAAAGGAGAGGCTGTTTAGATCTATCCTGCAGAGAGAATTCAAGCCTCTAGTTCTTTTCATGCCTTAGTCCTTGATCTCTGTCTGCATGGTGGTTAGAGTCTAATGTTCTGTCCATATTAACTCTATATCCTGAATCTGTTCATTTGGTCATACTTCCATTTCCTTGAAGAAAGTGTAATAAAACTCACAACAGTTCCAGGCTTCTTTTGTATAGATTAAACCCAATTGCTAATTTGCTTCCCCTTATGCTGAGCTTTAAAAATAAAAATGTACTTGGCAATGATCTATATTGAAAATTGAGGTGATAAGTCTCATTGGACTGCTAGCTCATTTCTAATGTAACAGTGTAAGCCTAAACAGAGCCTTCTTTGTTGTGAATGTTACCCCTGACTTCTGCGATAGTAAATAGGCATTCTCAGTAAAATGCTCAAGGAAACATCTATACTATTGGCAAACGGGAGTTCCTCATTTGAGCCATTAGAAAAAGGCTCAAATCATGGTCTCCAACCATTAAGTTTTTCTTAGGAAGCCATAATTTTCATGGATAGCATTCAAGTACCACGCCTGAATTTCTTTTTAAACTTAAAATAGATGAACATGTTAAACTTGCCTGCTTCAAAGCTGAACAGCTTCTACATTACCCCCCTCTTGAAACCTGACACCAACGGGGGCACCTTGTCTGTTCAAAGGAGCCTTCTACTTATGGCCTGCCCGCTTATTTATGCACAGCTTCCTTTCCAAAAGGTGCAGCCTTTTGTCCTTCAGCAGCAGCATGATTCAGACAATTTATGGACATCTCTGAGCATGTCCTCATTTGTCAAGACAGATGGTGCAAATCCCATATCTAGCGGCTATCATCCAAAATTTATAGAGAACTCTAGAAAGTGGGCAAAACTATGTCTTCAAGTATGACAAAAATGATCAGCAGGTATGTGGAAAGGTACTCAGTGCTATTATCTCTTACAGAATACCACCTCCTACCAACTATGTTGGATTTAACAAAACCCAATGAACGACAAATGTCAGTAAGGAAGAACAGGAACTCTTGCTGGCATGGTACAGCATGGCTGTAACTCCAGCACTTAGAAGGCAGAGGTAGGGAATGGATGCAAGTTAGAGGCCAGCCTAGTCCACAGTGCATTTAAGGGCTGCATAGAAAAAAGAAAGAAACACAACTCACTATACACTGGACTATAGACTAACACAACCATATGGAAAACAGTATTCAAGGTTCTGTGTAAAACACCTGCTGGGCATACGCTCCCCCAAAAGAAGATAAGCACCATGTGAAGTATGTGCATTCTAGTGTTCTCTGCAACATCATGCACAACAGCCGAAGTTCAGAGATGGCCTGCGTGTGTACAGGGGCATATTTGCCGGCCCCTAGAAAGAATAGGATCTAGTTTTGCCACAGATTGAGCTCAGAGAACCCTGCACTAAGTTAAATAAACCATACACAGGAAGAAAATATTCTGAAATTCCACTAAAAAAAAAAAAAAAAGTGAACTAACAAGATGGTGGTGGTAGGGGGTAGGTTGAAGGGCACAACGCACAGGTATGTATGTAGAATGAATAAATCTAGAGTTAATATATCATCTAGGAACCATAAGTAATAAAATTATACTATACTTAGCGCTTATGATATTGTAGCTACTGCACAAAAGTAAATGTGTGTGTGTGTGTATCTATACCTGTTCATTTAGTTGACTTTAGTAAACTTTACTATCTATTCTGATAACACCATAAAATAATTTGTTTTCCTGGTTCCCAAAGGCAGAAGATGAGTTTGTATACTGGCCAAGTCGAGAAGAATCCATGAACTGCGAGGCCTTTACTGTCACCCTTATCAGCAAGGACAGGCTGTGCCTCTCTAACGAAGAACAAATCATCATCCATGACTTTATCCTTGAAGCGACACAGGTAACAGCCCGCATTTCCGCCACAGTTGCCCAGCCTGGGTCCTGTGTCTTCCTTTTCAGTAAAGTGCTTTTACTACCTTTCAGACAGGTTCAGCTGTTAAATTATGCATTTCCGGTTTTCCTTCCTTAGTATATTTGTTTTTTCTGGTTGTGTGCATGAAATGTAACAGTCTCTGGCTCAGCATGCACACAAGTAGGTGTTCTGGCTGAATGATAAAGACAGTGTATGAGATCGTACTCAATATAGGAGAGAAATGCTGCATGCTTTGGCATCAGAAACGTAGCCTTGTTATAGAGATGACATTTTAATAAACACAATTGTCACATATAACTGCCTTCTTAGAAGGATAAGAGATATTCCATGTGTATCAGCAGTTTAAATGACACCTAAGTCCCTCCCTTCTTTCTTTTCTGAGTCAGAGTTTGAGTAGTAGGGTTTAACGTCTCTTACAGATTTTTTTGTTTTGTTTTGTTTTGTTTGCCTGATTAAAGAGAGCCTACTGTTCACTGGCGTGTTGTGTTTTGATGACAGGTGAGTCTTGTGCTGTTTGGGTAGCCTAACACTGTTCAGAGTTTCCCGAGATGCATGCTTCCTAGGGAGCAGACTCAGTCGTTTGGTGATAGACATGACTACAGGAGTAGCTATGATTTTTATTTTGTTGGTTGCAGGATGACTATGTACTAGAAGTTCGGCACTTTCAGTGCCCCAAATGGCCTAACCCAGATGCCCCCATAAGCAGTACCTTTGAGCTGATCAATGTCATCAAGGAAGAGGCCTTAACACGGGATGGCCCCACTATTGTTCATGACGAGTATGTATCTGATTGTGTATGTTAAATTCAGGTGCTCTTCTGATTGGATTTACACAGAAGTTGAAAGGGAATACCTTCCTCTCTATGCTTTCAATATTCAGTGTTATTTCTATTGGGTAGATACATATGCAAAAGCATTGTGGTTGTGTTTTAACTGGTCAACTTTTGCCAGGCTCTAAGTGTCCCTAGAGTGTATGCTCGAGAAGGGGAAAAGACTGCACTTCCATTCTTCACCAAAAGGTAAGCAGGTTCTTACTTGGAGACAGGTGTACCCTAACAGTAATATGTGGTATTCTCGGCATGTTGCATTCACATGCTCAAGTCCGTTCTATTCCCAGGCTAGTCTGTTCTCACCCAGGACGCCTGCAACATACATAATCTATTGAGATGGTTATAGAATAGATGCTTTACTCAAATAATAACTAGTTTACTGTGTAATTAAGCTAGTTTCATTTAATCTCAAAGTGTGGTCTGAGATCCCTTTGGGTTGTATCTCCAAGGTCATTCTAGATAATCAGAAAAGTCAAGCTATATGTGTGTGTGTGTGTGTGTGTATAGACACACACACACACACACACACACACACACACACATATAAAACAAAGAGACCATCTGCCTTGTTCACTGCCTGTCATGAATATATAAAGATTTCCAGAGTTACCCAACATGTAATGAAACTGTCACTCAAGATTAGTAGAAGGATCGGGCTTCCATTATAACATTCTCCTTTTTAATTCCCAATACCTTAAATTGCCTAAATAAGTAAAAGTTTAGCTATTATTATAATTTGGTCTTAAGATCAAGGACTGAAGACTGGTAAGAAATTCTGTAACAAAATCCATTGACTGGTCCCCACTCTGGCTGATGCATAGACACCCACAAGGCATAACTGCTTAGGATTACCAAGAACATAATTTATGATAGGCACTCTGTGTTTGGGGAAACAGGCACAGGGAGGAAGGTGCTTAGTACAAGGAGAGATTTATAGTCAGTGTCCACTAGTGTCAACCACACAATTTATGGGAACTAGTGTAAGATGAAAAATGCAGACCTTTCTGCTACAAAGACACCAAGAATGCCCAGGGAATTGTCAAGCTCTAAAGTCACTTGGGTATCTCCTGAATGAGGAGGTCCATTGAGACAGCCCCAGGAGACCAGCCCTGGGGCTCCAAGCCACCCATCCCAACCTCTAGTCAACACTGCCTTCCTCTGGTTTTTACGGTGGCCATTCCTGTTCCCTCTTTCTCTTTCAGGATATGTTGCAATCATTTCCTGCTTTCTGTTCTCATCCACTTCTCACGTTTTAATTTGATTTTGTATTTGGGATGTTTGGTTTTATTTGTTTGTACAGGTTTTGTTGTTGTTGTTGTTGTTTTGGGACAGGGTCTTGCTATATAAAACTGGGCTAACCTGGAGCTCCTGGCAATCTTTTTGCCTTAGCCTCACAAATACTAGGATTCTACCATGCTGGCCTACAAACTTATTTTTTAACTTTACATTGCTATTCTTCCATGAAGAATACCAGATTCTGGCTGCAACCCCTGCTTTTCTTCCTGTACTACCAACTTCTAAGGAAACTTTACCTCTTCGCCATAATAGATAGGTATGACGACATTCCCAGCTATTCTCTCTCTCTCCCTCTCTCTCTCGCGCGCTCTCTCTGAAAATAGATTTTTTTTTCCCATGCAGTTCTATTTGGATGACACTTTCCCTTCCTCAATTTCTTCCCTACTTCCCTTCCCACCCAGATCCACACCCTTTCTGTCTCTTCCTTAGAAAACAAATAGGCTTGTGAGCCAGCCCCAAAGTTATGAGCCTGGGAGAACTATCCCCATTACTCATCTATCATGTGACAGATGGGCAAGGGAGAAACACCAAGGCAGCTGGCTCTGCGGTCATAAGAATGGGAGAGCTGTCCCTGTCCCTCATCAACTGCAGCATTCAAGAGAGTGGTCCCTACACCAAGCCTAGGCAACACAGTAGAGCTGGCCCTGTGTTGTACGTGTGGAAGAACTGACCCTGAGGACATGAAAGCAGGAGAACTGGCCCTGTCCCTTGCTCATCATTACAAGGGGTGAACTATACAGGGCAATGCAGGGGAGCTCACCCTGGTGGTGAGGACGAGGGCGAGCTGGCGGGCTGACCAACCCTACCACTACCCAGGCCCAGAACCAGGGTTATGAATTTGCACACCCCATCATCCACACTATCTGTGATCTACTGGTGCACATGAAGGGACTAGTCCTGCAGACCCAAAGCTTCAGGCTCTCCACAACACAGGGCAAAAACAGGATAACTAAGAGGAGTCCCAGTGAGGGCCTAGCATTGACAGTGTAGCAGAAATGAGAGTCCTAGAACCAGACCTATGATTCTTTGCAATGAACACTTGCAAGTAAAGATAAATGGATAAAAGGGTTTATTGCATGACTGAGTCATGCTATAGCATCCATAATGAGATAAATTTTTCTCCTTTTTCTCTTAAATTTTATTTTTTTAATTTGGGGGAGGGGGTTAAAAGGGTACAGGGCTGATACTAAGGGACAGGGAAATGAATGGGATGGAGATATGTGAAAGACACAAAGAATAAATAAAAAGTTAAAAAATAGGTATCTAAGGAATAATAATAAAATGATAAAAACAAAAAGCAAATTTGGAATAAGACAAAATAAATAGAAGAAAAATGAGTCAAAAAAAAAGCACAAAAAAAACACATATAGACACAGAGGCACACACAGGAGGAATCCCAAAGAAACATAAAACCTGAAGCCATAATCTATATATAAAGGAACTGTAAGTAAAAAAAGGAAAATAAAAATACCCTGGTATGGGATTATGAGACAAGGAATTTCAAAAGATTCTGGTGAGGTCATTTTCTATTGGCTGGACATGAGGCCTACCCTGAAGAGTGGGTTTCTCCAGTGGAACTCCTTGGGAAAAAAAAAACTAATTTTTCATTTGCAGATAGTTCTCAGTTAGCACTAGCTTCTTCTGGGTTAGGGTCAGAGCATGTGTCTCCTTTCCCTCTTAGCTCTAGGATGCCATCTGGTACAGACCCTTGTAGGCCCTGTGCGTACTGCCTCAGGCCTGGAGTTCCTAAGTGTTTTCCAGTCCTGTTGTGTTTAGGATGCCTTCTTCTTGGTGTCCTCCATCCCCTCTGGCTCTTACACTTTGCTGCTGAGTTCCCTGAGCCCTGAGGGGAGGGATTTGATGGAGGCATCTGGTTAGGGGCTGAGTGTTCCAAGGTCTATCATTTTGTGCATATTGTCTCTGTGGGTCTCTGTGTTTGTTCCCGTCTGCTGCAAGAAGAAGCTTCTCTGATGATGGCTGGACAAGGTACTGATCTGTGATGTAACAGTATGTCTTTAGGAGTAATTTTATTGCTATGTTCCTTTAGCAGGACAGTAGTGTTTGGTTTTCCCCTAGGTTGCTGGCCTGTCCAGTCTCAGGTTCTTACTACCCCAAGCAGGGTCAGGCATGGGTTCCATCCCATGAGTGGTTGGTTACCCCCACAAGCCCTGTGTCACTATTGCACTAGCGGATCTCACAGACTAGACTGGTCGCCGTTGTGGATCAAAGGGTTTGTAACTGGGTTTTTTACCTTTCTCCTCTGCTACCATGCAATGCAGAGCACCTTCCATGTCAACATATTCAGCTGTGATCTCAAAAACACTTCTAACCAGGCAGTGGTGGTACACACCTTTAATCCCAGCACTTAGGAGGCAGAGGCAGGAGGATCTTGTGAGTTCAAGGCCAGCCTGGTCTACAGAGTGAGTTCCAGGACAGCCTCCAAAGCTACACAGAAACCCCATCTTGAAAAAAAGAAATAACTCTAAAAGTACAATAATTGTACCTCTTATGGCCATAGACATAATGCATACTGGACATGGATCCTCAGTCTATTTTAGAATCAACACAGTCCAAGTACATCAGTGTTTTTCTTTAAGCAGCACTAAACCAGCATGACTTTTAACTAGAGAAAGTGGTAAGCAGATCTCAGAAGCCAGTGGATGTGTAACTACTGTGTAATGTAGCCTGTAAGTTACTAAAATCACCTCTGTACCAAGTACATAGATCTCTGAATGTAAGTCTGTGAAACTCAGCAAATATCATTCAGTCCTAACATAATGCATAAGATTCTAAAAGAGAATGGCCCTTATTTTCTTTAGTCTTTTTTTATTCTAGTGTTAGATGTTAGATAATTTGATTTCAGTCTCTAGGCATGCTTCAAGCCTAGTTGTTCACACACTTCTGGGAAGTGTAACATAAAGGGCTTTCCTCGTGTGTAAACATCACAGCTGTTCTTGCACAGAACTAGAGACTACTTAGCCCACTGTAACCTGGGCCAGATGTTACAACCACCATTATGTGTGTTACCTGTCTTTGATGAAAGTGTATGTATTAAGAAGGGCTAGTGGTTGTGGTACAGGCCTTTAATCCCAGCACTTGGGACGCAGAGGCAGATGAATCTGTCAGTCCTAGGCCAGCCTGGTCTAAAAAGCAAGTTCCAGGACACCCAAACTGTTACACAAAGAAGCCCTGCCTCAAGCCCCCCACACCATGCCCCCCCAAAAAATCCACAAAGAATAGCCAGTGGTAGGAAAGGTGGCCAGCTCACAGAAAGGCTAACATCCGTGAGAAGCATACTCCACAAGCAGAGCATGGCCATCCCGATGTTCTGTGTGACTGGCTTGAACTAATCTTTAAGAAGAGCTAGGAAAATAAAGAGGTGAATCCCGAATTTAATCATTTCATTAGAACCAGTTAAGTAAATGTTTCCTCCGTAAAACCAAGTCAGTACAAATGTTTTTTTTTTTTTTAATACTGTGTGAAAATAAGATCAACGTAGTACAATTTATAATCCAGCAAAAGACAGCACAATGAGAAAGAACCAGAACAAACACAAAAAGGTAAACCAAAAGAGAGTAATCATAGTGTTATTAAAAGAATATAGTGAGATCAACAACTAATGTATCCATGGAGCCCTCATCTAATACCTGTTGGAAACAGGAGCAAACACCCATACATAAACACTGAATCGAACTAAAACCCAGATGCAGATGGAGAAGAAAAGACCAGGTTGCAGAAACACATAGAGACAGCTTACCTGAACAAGGAGGAGCTGACGGGCCAGCAGACTGATAGCTGGGAAGCCAGCATGGGACTGACTCAGGCCCCCTGAATATGGGTCTCAGCCAGAAGGACTGAGCAGTCTAAGGGACCTCAGACAGTGGAACCAGGATGTATTCCTGGTGCACAAAAGGACCTTGCGAACACATCCCCCATGGAGGGATAACTGCCTTAACCTAGAGGCAGGAGAGAAGCCCTAGTCCCTACTTCACATGACCTGTCAGACCTACATGACCCCAACTGGATGGCATTCCCCTACATATGGAATTGGGGTGGGGGATGGGAGGGAGGGTGGTTAGAGTGCTTGTAAGAGGGCAGAGAAGGTAAAAGGGAGGGAGGGAAGGAGGGGAAACTGGGATCGACATGTAAAATAATAAATAAGAAAAGAATATATTTAGAGAGCTAATGAAGAGTTTACAGACATACTGTGAGCCATCTAGAAAAATTAAAATCTAAAAATGAAAAATACTTCTGTTAAAAATGAGAGCTGCTAGTGGTGGAAGGGGCGAGGCTGATGTGGGAGTAGCAGCAGCTAGACTCCAACATGCGCAGCAGTTGATGCACAGGGAGGTCAAACGCTGACAGGAACAGCAGCTAAAGTTTTTGAGACAACGGAGAATCAAGTTCCAAGCTGAACCAGTCAGGGGCCATTTGAGCAGTAGCATTTGGAGAGAGCCTGAATAGCACAACTTTACCTAGTGTTGACGGACACACGTGTGCATGCAAAGGGTACTATGTGAGAGACAGCCCATGGAAACACAAGTGGCTTACCTGTATAAACTGACCAAAAGTACAATTTTAATAAATCACTATAATCTGGAGACAAAGCCACACCCACTCACCACAACACATTAATATTAGAAATCCACAGTTAAATAAGATTCTAAATCCTATTAGTGGAAACTGAAGTTCTTACATGTGACACTACTTATAAATAATTTATGGCTTAAGGAGGTAAACAAGATTGGAACTGAAAAATAATAACATAATCAAAGCATTAACTTTCCAAAAGAACCAAACTGTACCTCCCCTAAAAAGTCATAGCCCAACTTACATTTATTGAATTTTGGAAACAAACTTGACCTTCAGTTTAAAAAGCTGGGGGCGGGGGCAGATAAAACCACTGAAATACAGGTAATTAACAGAAGGAAGCCAAAAGAATGAAGTGGGAACAGAGATTGAACATGTAAGCAATAAATAGACCTGGTCTAATAAAGGATACAATGGTGATATCCAGGGAGGTGACGTGCTTCTACAGCCCCAGCTCTGAGGAGACAAAGGTAAGAGGGTCAGGAGTTCATGACCAGCCTGGACTCCACAATGACAAGTTATCTTTAGAGGGGAAGAAGGAGGCTGGGAGTGAACACTGAATACTGTAACAAAGAAAACAATTACAGAAGGCATAAGTTAAGATGGAGGGGAAAACCCCTTCCACTTTTTTCTATGTTTATTTAAAGACATCTGAGAACTATTTGTTTGAGCTTGTCCTTTTAGGTTCTTAGCATTTATAAATTACTTATAAAAGCTAATTCTCAATAAAACATCTGCAGTTTACTTCAGTTCAGATGGAGGAGGAAACAGGTAGAAGACTGTCCGTGAGCTGGTGATTTGTATAGCTGAATGGTAGCTACAAACAGGTCCTTGTGAGATTGTACTTCTGTGTATGTTGAACACACTCTCTGATAAAAAGCTAGAAATAAATACATTTAAAAGCAAATAAAGGGAGTGAGACTGTTTACTTACAACATTATGTTAATAAACTTTAAGCAAAGGTAGTAGATGATGTTTGCGTGGTAAGTGCCATCTCTTTTCTAAGCCACTTAGATCTAGATAGTCGCAGAAATGTAGCCATGGCCTCACTGTAAGACTCAGTGGCCAGTTTCTTCCCCTGAATATGCCTCTTCAACATCAAGTGACAATGACAGTAGTATTGCCTCATAGGGAAGGTTAACTCCTTGTATGTAATTGTCTAGAGAGAACATAGGCCACACAGTAGTAATTACCAAGAAGCGAGTATGAGAGAGAGAGAGCCCTCCCTGGGCCTGGGCCCCCAAACACTCACTGAGGCTACATCAAGACAGTAACAACACAAACTGAATTAAAAGGAGATGCTAGTCCTATACATTCAAAATCATGAGTAAAATACTATCCACCAAAGTCAATACAACTCAAAATAAATAGTATCAAAATGTGTTGATGAACTCAAGACATTTTCAAAGATTTTTTAAAAAATCAACAGATTAAAAAATAGGCAGAAAGCATCTATAGTAAATAATGGAATAAAATAGCACCCCTTCTTACCCCCACCAATACCTTCAGCAAACAAAAGAAAGAAAATAAGCCTTCATCCTTAACCAGTTATCATTTACGAGAAGCCCATCACACATGCTTTTATTTTCAAGACTTGCGTAGTTTGACCATAAACAATCATAAAGAGCATGCCTGTTTCCAGTGCTGGCACACTAAACATTTCAAGGTTTAACCAAGTTAGTAAACGCCAAAGAAAGAATAAACATCAAGAGGCAAAGCCCACCACCCAGAGAGCCTACAAATTACTCAAGAGTTCTGCTGTGTGACTGTCTACACGCTCACTTTGTCAGCATAATTAATGTCTCTATACATCAAGTGAAGGTGAGTAGACAGTGCCACAAGAGGCCATGCTGAGGAGTAGCAGGGACTCTATGAACCCACGAATTAACCTAAAACATAATGTGCAAAGGCATAAAAGAAACTCTGAAGCCCAACTGACTTGCGTAAATGGAGAAAGGACGTGCTATTACTGAAGAGAAAAACTAAAGCCTGTAAAGACATGGCTTTCCTCAAATTCATCCACATATTCAAGAAATGTAGCAAAAACCCTAACAACATCTTTTGTTCCTTGAAAATCTGGTTCTAAAATCTCTATAAAAAAAATGGGGTAGAGTGGAACAGAAGGTTACACATATTTTGAAATGAATATGAAATGAAAATTTGCAGTACACGGGTTTAGGGATATGGCAGCAGTAGGCATTTATAACCTATACTTGAAACACGAAAAATAAAATTAGAAGATATAAAAGAAAATCTTTACAGACAGAATTCTCAAACAGAACATCCTGCCCCAAATAAATGATGATCTTGATTTATATCTGAACTGAACTGTATTCCAGGGAAGCAAAAATGATCATAAACAATGTTTATCAAAACTACAGCTGCACTGTAACCTTACAGGCCCATCGTAATGTAGTTTTGGGTTATCCAAAACACCATTATGCAGTGGATGGGTTTTGTTTTTGTTTTTGTTTTTGTTTTTTTAAGTTCAGTTTATCTGATTGTTTGAGAGATGGCTCAGCTATTAAGGCTAGAGTCACAACCAAATGGACATTAGATATGCTTAAGATCTTTGAAAACAGGGGCCCTGTAACACTTTCTATTTATCCCATAGGAAATAATCACAGTGCTCTTATTGTTTTCTCATCTGTTGTAATATCTCTTATCCAAAACCAATTCCATAATGTTTCCAAGTCTACTTTTGAACCTTTTGTTTCCTATTAGTCATCAAGCTGAGCCATTTTGCCAAAATGGCATTTGGCAAAAATGTCACCTCTATGTAAATTTCTAGATCCCTCTCCCTAACATTTAATTTATTTTGTCTTCTGGAATAGACACCAACCCAGCCTACTTAATTCCTAAGAAAATATGTGGTGGTACTTAACCTTCTGCTACATGCAGTCCATCCATACGTCTGAAATCGTACCTTTCTTTCTCCTCCCCAGGTATGGAGCAGTTTCTGCAGGAATGCTATGTGCCCTTACCACCTTGTCCCAGCAGCTAGAGAATGAAAATGCTGTGGATGTCTTCCAGGTGGCTAAAATGATCAATCTTATGAGACCTGGAGTATTCACAGACATTGTAAGTAGTTTGTGTGTATATCAAACCTATCAGATGATCCTCACATCTGTACTACAGACCAGGGGATCTCAACTACAGTTGTTGACCAGGAGACTTACTGGTTTTCACTACTGGACAGAGGTTCTGTGGCATTTAGTGTATGAAGGCCAAACCTACCATGCACAACATAGAAATATCTAACCCAAAATATCAGTAATGTAGTTTAAAAAAAAAAAAAGTCTGCTTAAAAGTCTTACACTGAAACAGGTTCTTTGCTAACAAAGACCAGAGGATATGAAGAAGGTATAGAGCTCAATGAGACAAGTGGTTGCTTTTAAAGTTAAATATATTTCTGTTATTCTCGTCTCTCTGGGTATGTTTTTTTTTTAGAAGTATGTTTATGGTAAGTATTTGCATCGTAGATGTCTAACCCTTTATTCCTACCTGTCTTCCAGGAACAGTACCAGTTTGTCTACAAAGCAATGCTCAGCTTGGTCAGCACTAAAGAAAATGGAAATGGTCCCATGATGGGGGACAAAAACGGTGCTGTGTTAACTGCAGAAGACTCAGACCCTGCTGAGAGCATGGAGTCCCTGGTGTGACCGCACCCCTGGACGGGCACTTAATTTGTAAACTTCTGACACTTGGAAAGACAGAACTTTTTTGAGGCCTTTTTTGCCAGACTCTAGGTTATACAATAACCCAGTTACTTTTTTACACTGATAAAAGTTTTGATATTTATTTTTTGCCATTTTATGTCTTAATGGTATCCTACTGAGCATTTGCACCTGTTCATTTTACACAGTGAAACGCAACTTTACCTAGTTTGCACTATACGATCAGTGTTACTGCCTATAATCTAATCTTCAGCAAAACCTGATGTGACATTCCATGACGACATACATGCTCTTATTTAGTTCTGTGCAGTGAGAGTCTTTGTTATGACAGTGAATCTCAGTTTTGTTATTATTCTAAAGCAATTGCATTTTCCTAGCAGGCAACACTGTACTTTTCTTAGTTCCCCTCTATTTTCTAGGCACTGTTCAAATACTACATGCCTTGTGTTTCCATGGAGTGGATGGGCACTGTTGCCTTTTACAGGGCAGCAGGTTAATGGGAGCCCCTAAGAAGTCTGTTGATGTCTGTTCCATTTGTAATGGTTGAGGAATCCACTAAAAAGTTAAGAGGGCTTAAGAGTTGCTTCATGTGGACATCTCTTATTAGTTACTGAGTTATATTCACAGTTGAAATGTGTCAAAATAAAGAATCACTCTGTATTACAGATTTCACAGTAGCTATGTGGACAGTGTGTGTTATTTCCATTTTGACTCTCTGAAGTAGCTATACCCTAAAATCAGGGCTGGCTTTTATAATGGAAAGGTGGCACTATTTCATACACTCTTTAGTTAATCTCCACTAATACTTTTTCAGTATCTAGTACCATACCTCACAGTAGCCACAGCACAGAAAAGAATAGGTATTTAAATCTAAATGTTAGTGTTCAAAAAAATCCCTACTAACTACTCCTATAACAGTCCAATAAAAAAAAAATACCTATAGACAACAATATTTTTTTCCTTATTTTTTTTTGCCAAATGTTAAACAATAAATCTCTTAATTACATACATACTCTATTTAAGATTGAATTGGAAATGTATTTGGGACCAAATTCCTACAGATAAATCAGTCTTACTTGGAGAGAGACATTTGAGTCTTAAAGAGAAAATTCAGTTTTTGAATGACAGGTGACATCTCCATTTTAGAACAGGTTTTATTAGGAGAGTTGTGGGTCTTTGAGAGCAGATAGATGCACATCAGTAAGAGGTGGCAATGGTCTTTGGTGAGCCCTAGGCCTGGCTGGAGCTGCTTTTGACCCACAGTAGTACATAATGGGAAAAATTAAGAAATTTAATTTGAGTTGGTTTAAAACAACACTCACTAAGCTATTCACCAAGATCTGTATCTTCCTTGTAATGTCTCCTTTTGAAGGTCAACTTCTGTCAGACTTGAAATCATCCCACAAGATTGAGCCCATGGACAATGGGGTTTGGTTTCCTTGTTATACCAGTAAGCTTTATGATGAGGCCCTGTGGCTGCTGTCACTCTTGGGGCAGCATTGCAGCGGGGATGTGGCTTTGTTCTTCTTGAGTTGTTTATCTGGAACTAGTCACACAAGTTTTGGAGAACCAGAGCTACTAAGGAGGGGGTCCCAAGCCACGTCAAGGGTTTCAGTGCATGGGCCAGGCCCATAGAGGCCCATGAAGACCATTTGTATAGACTAACCTAAGTTTTTGAACACACAGAGAACTGAGAGTCTGGCTTTCAAGAGTGTTGACCAGCTGAGCAGAGTCTATAAGGTGTCTGCTAGATAGCATCCTAGGCACATTTACCAACACACACACACACACACACACACACACACACACACACATCCTGTCCCATCAGAGGTGTCACCCTGCATAATTTAAAGAAGGACTAACCATAGATACAACTCTCGGGGCTGAACAGAATATTGAAGGAAAAAGATTCAGATCCTCATAAGAGCTAGAGATTCCTTGCCAATTAAACAGATTCTTTTTGCTGTACACAGATCTGATATCAGCTGATGCTCTTCAGTTAGATGCTCTGTACTCTGCCATTTGGAATTAACATTCGAGTTGGAGTTCATGGTCTCACAATTTTCTATTAATAAAAGTAACTGTTTAGAAGACAAATAGCAAGTATTACTTTCTGTGCTATTCACACAGGAAATTCAATTTATGGAATTGGAATTGCATACTCCCCACAAATCTGGAACTGTCTAACATGAGTGAGAAAATAAGGAGGAAAGGGGGTGAAATAAGAAGGACAAATAAAGTCAAGGTGGGTTAGAAGCTGTCTGTGGGCAGCCTGTATATCTACAGCAGGCTTGAACTAAAGCCTGTACATCCAGCTTACTGGTCTATGAGCAGTTGCTAGGTCCCATTTTGCCACAATGGTTCACAAATCCTTCACTGAGGAGAGTTACCTTCAGCCATCCTCAGTCCCCACTTTTACCACAATATGTATCTTCCCTGTTCTTTGCTATTGGCAAACATATTTTGCATCTTTCCAGAGGCAGAGTGTTCCAAATATGTTTTCTTTGAGACATAAGCACATACTAAGGTTATAACCACTTACAGTCAAGGGAAAGGGATACAGCTCTTACTAAAGCTAATGTGCAGGCTCCTAAGATAAGATGTTTGCATGTGTTATTTGCCTCTAGGGCAATAAGCCACACAAACCAAATGAAGCTGAATTGTAAAAATTAGATCAGGCGGACAGGCTGGACAGCAAGATGTATTAGAGACATTAGAACAGTTTCTTGTACCCTAAACCATAATACCATCTTTAATGTCCCTTGTCTAAAATTTACCTTCTGAGTTTCAAGAATAGTACATTTGGTCCAGTGATTTTCCTAAACTTTATGCACATTCAAGATGAAATAAGGGTTATGGTGTTCAAGGTCTGGTTGGTAGTTTTTACCCCAAAGTGACAATGAAATCAGTAAGTAACCTTAATTGTCTTATAATGACACAGCACAACTGCCTTCTCATGACTTTTTCTTAATTACATATATACTATGTTTAAAATTAAAATGTAGATACCAATTTACCAAAGATACACATTACTAATTCTAAGCAAAAAAAAAAAAAAAAAAAAAAAAAAAAAAATAGAAACCCAAACACATCATAATTTAAGAAAAAGTAATCAAAACGTAGTTGTCTTAAGGCTTTTGCAGTTACATTGGAAAATGCATTTTTAAACCCCTATGTCCTAAAATTTCTGTTCAAATGGTGCCAGTCAATTTTTATATGAAGGGAAAAAAATGCCTGCTTTTTTTTTTCTTCCTAGCAGCTGTAATTTCACATAACCCTTTGCACTTTCCCTTAGTTACCACTTAACACACAATATTGGCTTTATTTATCTCTAGAAAGAAGGCATGGTAAATAGAAGAAATTATAATGACATTTGGCCTCTACTTTTGTCTTAGCTGTTAAAATGTTTTTAGTATTTTTGTTAAATATTTGCAAAGGGAAGCATTTTCTACAGAGGATAATTAATTTCAAGAAAAATATCTTGAGTTTTAAGAAATAAACATCTCCAGGAAAGGAGACAGTCAATTTTATAAAGTGTCGTAACTCTCCAACATTTGGGGTAGTGACTCCTTCTTTGTTAGGACATTTGAAACTAGCGAGCAGCCATTGTTTCTACAGAGCCCACTTCGTGTCGACACGTGTTTCTTTCACTTAATTTTCTGATAGCTCAAATCATTAAAACTGTACATATTCTGTTGCTTGAGTAAGCATCTTCTGGGAACTTTGTATCTATGGTATATAATCATAGAATTTTATATTTTCATATAAAGCTAATTTTTTTCTAGTTTCAACTACGCCTTAGTTTTCTGTTTTGTTTTGTTCTCGTGGTGGATATGTGAACTTAACGTGTACTGAAGTAGCGAGAACCATCTTTGCATTCCAAAAGAATCCAACCTGTGTTCTTCCTTTGAGGCAGTGATTGTGAAAGTCTGGTTTTCTTTTTAATTCCATTGGCCATTAGTGCAATAGCAATTAGACATGACTAGTCACTGAATACATTTGTCGCATTGACTCATTTTGCAAAAAGTGGTTTTTTTTTTTTTGTTTTGTTTTGTTTTGTTTTTTAAGATTTGTTCCATGGGGGCAGGGGTTTTATAACCTGAAATTTTTCCCTTTTTCCTTCTGTTTTAAACTATATCAAAACATTCTATTATAGTGTTATTTAATATGTAAATTGTATTGCTATACATAAAATAAAGTATGGTTTTTGATGTACGTGGTCATATTGAGCATTTCTATGAAGTCACATTAACACTCAGCAACCCTCCATCACAGTGTTCACTGTAGTAGGTGAATGTCAGCAGTCACCTTCATAAGCAAAGGGACATGCCTCACAGACTGATTCACTGATACTCTTCCTCTTTTCACCCCAAGAAAACAAGACAAAGTCTCACCAGTGTCAAATACCCTCTGCTTTGTGATTGTCCCTCTGGTATCTCAACCACTGTGGGGGCCACTTACCTTCTTAACATTTACTGACTAGTATGAAGGATGGGTCACAGCAAGACCTTTGTAGAAGCGTGGAGTAAACATAGGATTAGTACAAGTTCTTCCATGTCAGGACATGGGCTCTTAGTTTACCATTCCCTCCCCCTTCTCTCTCTCCCTCTTTCTCTCCCTTGCTCTCTCTCCTCTTTCGCACATGAGTGAACCTGTCCTTAAGAATGCATTTCTTCAATGAGGGGGAGGAATGGAAAACATGTGTGACCAGGAAGATTGAGCCTGGTTAGGAATAGAAGACAGGAAAGAGAGAGACAGAGAGAGAGAGAGACAGAGAGAGAGAGAGAGAGAGAGAGAGAGAGAGAGAGAGAGAGAATATAAAAGAGGGAGCCAATATTGGTTTGAAGATAAAATTGAACATAAAGGTCTAGAGAACTACAAGACTGCTACCAACTAACAATTTGAGCTTCCGTGGAAAGGCTACCATAAATGCCCTTCCCGGAGAGTGAGATCAACAACTAACTTATCCATGGAGCCCTCAACTAATGCCTGTGGGAAACAGGAGCAAACACCCATACATAAACACTGAGTCAAACTAAAACCCAGATGCAGATGGAGAGGAAAAGACCAGGTTGCAGAAACACATAGAGACAGCTTACCTGAACAAGGAGGAGCTGACGGGCCAGCAGACTGATAGCTGGGAAGCCAGCATGGGACTGACTCAGGCCCCCCTGAATATGGGTCTCAGCCAGAAGGACTGAGCAGTCTAAGGGACCTCAGACAGTGGAACCAGGATGTATTCCTGGTGCACAAAAGGACCTTGCGAACACATCCCCCATGGAGGGATAACTGCCTTAACCTAGAGACAGGAGAGAAGTCCTAGTCCCTACTTCACATCACCTGTCAGACCTACATGACCCCAACTGGATGGCATTCCCCTACATATGGAATCGGGGTGGGGGAGATGGGAGGGGAGGGTGGTTAGAGTGCATGTGAGAGGGCAGAGAGGGTAAAAGGGGGGGAGGGAAGGAGGGGGAACTGGGATCGACATGTAAAATAATAAATTTAAAAAAAAAAATGCTTTGACACCAAAATTTAAGTTCAGGGACAAGTTACTGGGGAAAAGGATTTCTATTTTTGTTTCCACAGAAAATGAAAAGATGTGGATTCCTTCCAGACTAATGTGATTTGATCAAACCAGACCACCTGAAACAGAGTACCAGGTGATCAGCTGGACAAAGCAGCCTTACAGACTACAGCCAGGATTTCTGAATCTTCTTCGAATCCCCCATGACAGTGCCCCTTACCAGCAGGAAGTAGTTTGGAAAGAACAACGCCCAAATTCCCAAATATTTTCTATAAATATTTGTTTTCATTTAAATGGACTTGGTTATATAAAATAAATAAAAAATTAAAAAAAAAGAAAAGAAAAAAAAAGAGAATGCATTTCTTCCTCAAGTTATACCCCTGGTAGCTCTAGTACACAAATCAATTATCTGTATAGATCCTGGTCAGACAGACAACAGGAATATTTTATTTCACCTATATTTTTTGTAATTCCTATTAGTTACCAACATTTGAAAATACATACTTTTTACATTCAGGTTTCGAACTCCCTTTGAAAACTGTGGGTGGTAGAATGGCACAGGCTCACAGTCTGCCACAGCCATAGTGTCTGGTCCCCATCAGTCATTTAACTGACCCTTTTAGGTCCAGTGAACAGCTGCCTCTAAACTATACAGTCAGAATCCCAGGGCCACTTTCATCTCAGGTTAGTGAATCAAGGGCAGCAACAGAAGCATGTCTATCAACCACCCTACCAGTCAGAACCCAGTGGGTTCCCACACTCTTGACTCCCTTGGAGTCAAAATGATACCATTAAGTAAGACATTATGGAGTTGGAGGGATAACTCAGCCAGTAAAGGCTAGGCTCACATCCAAAAATGTAGGGAAGACATCATGACTTCAGAAATAGATCAACCATCAATTGCCCAACTCCATGGCTTTGGTTGTATGGAATATATCTCTAAACTAAGAAGGTTCATTTCTGTTACTAAGACTTGGAGGAGGGGATGCTATAGTAAAACCCCACTTTTTTTACACACTAAATGTGAGATTTCAATGATTTAGGAACAAGTCAAGATGGCCATACCCTGATTCCGAGATGGGACTAAAGGCATAAGTTCAAGTTGGGTGTCATGGGTGATAATCTTAGCTCTTGGAGGAAGAGATAAAAGGGTCCAGAATTCAAGGTCATCCTTAGCCAAACAAGTTAATTCATGTCTAGCATGGTTATGTAATGCCCTTTTTCAAAACCAGAGACACCAAGACAAATACATAAATGAAATACTAGCTTTACATTATATAGCCTATGTTCAAGGTGAAAACTATCAAGTTAAAAATAGCTTTTGTGGTTATGTCGTTTCATTTACAAGGGCAATAGTAAGATCTGTATTTTATCTTATGTGATGCTTAAAAACTAAGAATTAACACTACTAATATTGTCTATGGTGTAAGGGTAAACTTGTGCAACAATCCAGTCTCATATTCTAAATTGCAGACACCTTTAGCATCATGTATGTAAAGTCCATCTCCAAGCAGCTGCTGAAATGCAACCTCATCTCAATGTACAGACTGCACAGTAGCTTTACTCTTAGAATGTAAAATCACTGACAGGCCTTTCAGTCACATGAGGCATGGATTAGTTTAGTCTTAAAAGTATCCTTTAAACTGAGGTAGACCACATACCTACAATGTGTGGGGCCTGGGTTCAATCTCCAGGAATGAAACCAAAGTTCAAATTCTTCAAAATTTTTGCAAGGCTGGGAGGTGGTTCTGTGGGCTGAGTTTGGTTCTCCAGCACCTATGTAAAAGCTGGATATTGCAGCTCACAACATCTGTAACCCTAGAGCAAGGAAGCTGGAGGAGTGAGACGGATCTCTGTGGCTGAAGGCACTTCAACTGAAGCAGGATGCTCCAGGTGGAGTAAGAGATGCCCATCAGAAAACTAGGTAGAGCCAACAGAGGAAAACACCAACACTACACAAACCCACACACAAAATGAAAAACAGAACATATTTTGGTGTTTCAGTAGAGATGGATTTCAGACAAAGACTAAAAGGAGTTGTATCTCCACCATGAGCAAGGAAGTAAAGGCATCCACCACAGGCACTCCTTCCGGCTGCATGCTGTGCTCACAGATTCCCTTTATTCCACATTAAACTAGTTACTGGAACATTTACCAGAGTGTGCAGAGGAACTAACGGGAACTGTAGAGTCAAACAGCCAAACATCTGGCCAGTTCTGCCATTTACTGACAGGGAAAATTACTCTGTCCCTCCCCAAGTGCCATTTTCCTCTTCAATAGAACACACACAAAAAAATTATGTTTACATAATCAAGTAGCTGGGAGAAGAAAATGAGGTTATTTGTGCAAAATTCTGATACAGTGCACAGTGAGTACTCAATGCCATCCATCATAAGATGTTATACTTTTGTTTTATTTAGTTACTTAGTATATCTGTGATCAATCGTGAAACAAACAAAAAAAAAGTTACTTTAGCTTGTTCATTTTCATACCAATGCTAAGAAATTTCCATATTCAGGAGGCTCCTCCCCTCACATTTCTTCTTCTTGTACTGGAGTTTGAACCCATCTTGTGTGTGCTACACAAGCTTCTATCTCTTTGAAACGACCTTAGCCCTTTAAAAACTGTCTAGCTAAGCTGCCTATGCTGGTCCTTTGCTCACTCTGTGGCCCAGGCAGGCCTTGAATGTTCTGTGTTCCTGCTACAGCCTGTAAAGAAGTTAGACTGCTTCTAAGAGTTTAAATCCTCTCTGAATTCTGAGGAGGTATTTTTTTTTTTTTTAAGAGAACAAGTGCTTCCTGAGAAGTGAAACAAGCCTTCACAATGTTTTATTCTTCAGCACCAAGTGCACAATCCAGTATGACACTGTGAAAAGATGGGTGGTGTTTCTATCACCTACTGCAGTCTCCATGTTGTCCCCAAAATGTCTACAGTGATAATTCCTTTCTCCTTAGCTGAATTGGAAAGAATCCTGCTGCTCGCGTTTGTTTGAGGTAGGTGCAGCATAGCATGGCAACACACACATGTGGAGGTTCAGAGAAATGTCAAGAGTCAGTACTCTCCTTCACAGGATCTGGGCAGTAAACCCATGTCATCAGACTTGGCAGCAAATGTTCCTGCTGAGCTATATTGTCAGTGCCTTCACAAGTTTATAACCACTGTAAATCTTGCTAACTTCTACACATCACATTAATGATCATGAGCCTCATTGATTGGCACTGTAGACTCACTTGCCCTCTTTGGCCACTCTCTATTTATTATATTATGAAGAGGACCTAAGTTAGAGCCATTTCCTCTTTTTTGTAACATTCCGTAATCCCATGAGTTCACATCTTTAGTGTATTTCCACACAAATAATACCAAACTTAATGATTGAAGGAACATTAAGCAAGTTATGGTCATTACTCTTATAACTGTTGCCTTTTGACAATAAGTCTTACAATGCATTCCAACACATCACACTTGCATGAATCAGGACAATGTTTCAAAAATGACTATGTGAAAACTAATATGGGGTGAGATTTTATAACAGATCTGAAACATTTTTTTTCATGGAAAAAGAACCACAGTCATGTGAATCTAAGTAGAATTAATCACTAGCATTCATATAGCCAAATATTCATATTGATTAAAAGTATGTGAACTGAATTTTGCAACCATCCTAAGTAGCTTACATTTCTTCAGTGCT